GAAGATGCTGGGCTGTCACCCAGTATTCAATTAAGTTTGTCGAAATACTTGCATTGGGAACGACCTGAGCCACACCTGTTTAACTTATTTTTACAAAGACGGTAGCCGCGCCTGAGTGTGAGGTGAGGTGAGGTGAGGTGAAATTGGGTTTAACGTCGTGCTTGAAAATATTTCGCTCAAATGACGACGTGCATGCGTGTGTATGTGTATGTGCGGCTGCGTGTACTAGCCCAGACTGAAGCTGGTTTTATAGTGCTAGCCCACTGAGATACCATGCCGCAGTGAAGCATGAATACCCCACTCAGACATATTATACTGACTCCGAGCCGACCAGTCCTTGTTGTACCCATTAATGCCGAGCGCCAGGCAGGGACCAACAAGTACCATATTTTAACGTCTTTTGGTATGACGCGGTCGGGGATCGAACCCGCGACCTTCTGCTTTCCGGGCGGACGCTCTAACCACTACACCACGGAGGCGGTCCGCCTGAGTGTGTGCATCTTTGTTTTACATTGTTCCATGCTCTTCTCATAACCTCTTTCTTCCATTTCAAATGCAATAGTTTTGTATATGTTAGCATTGCTAACTTTAGGATCATCCAGGATATCCTCAAGGTGAAGTTCTTGCCAGATAGTATGCAAAGTTGTTGTTGCTCCTTCATCCAATGCTGGACCAAGCTGTTTGGGCTTTGATGAACTTGCAATGTTCTTTGCCTGATCCCTCACTTTCGACTTGGATGCACCTAGCATGTTAACTACTGGATAGCGCACTTTGAGCTTGGACGTTCCTCACATTGCAAGTGATAGGGATGTCAGAAAGTTGCAACTAAACTCTTTGAGACACAGTGACGTCGTGTCTAGATACGGAAGTGCTAAAAATAACATGGATGCAACAGTTGTCTGTATATTCAACATGAAATAACCTGACATACACACCCGTGTATTTTTGCTATGCGTTCGCATGGCACAAATACTAACCATGCAAATTTGCACATGTGTAAATATACATTTACATGACCACCAGACCACATGCAAATTTGGATTTATACCCGGACTGTCGACAACAACAAATAATCCGTCCAAATTACTTGTCGACAGTCCGGGGAAAGGGGGATGATGTTCTACAGGAGTGACTTCACGCCCAGTGTTCTCGAAATTAACAAACCAATTAAAAACAGAGTGCGATATATATAGTAGACAATATATTTATTTAGTCAATATAACAACATGTGTGTATCATATGTCACACAATATAACATATTTGTACACAATTCATAAATCTCACACAATATATTTGTATAGTACATAAGTCAAATAGGTAAGTAACATTTGAGAAGTGCAATGATTCATAAAGTCCATGTCAGTAATCTGAATGTTCAGCCAAGATGAAGCAACTCTGACACATGGTCTGTGTAGTTCAAGTCAGTAGTGAGTGAGTGAGTGAGTTTAGTTTTACGCCGCACTCAGCAATATTCCAGCTATATGGCGGCGGTCTGTAAATAATCGAGTCTGGACCAGACAATCCAGCGATCAACAGCATGAGCATCGATCTGCGCAATTGGGAACCGATGACATGTCTCAACCAAGTCAGCGAGCCTGACCACCCGATCCCGTTAGTCGCCTCTTACGACAAGCATAGTCGCCTTTTATGACAAGAATGGGTTGCTGAAGACCTATTCAGTAAGTCTGTCGGCAAGAAGGTCGGCCTTCAAGGATCGAATCCTAGCGTCAGTGATTCAGTAGCGACGTTTACGGACGGGATCTCTTTGCTGTCCTTTGCTGGTGATCTGCTGAATTTTAACTTCAATAGCTGACTGTTCTTTTTGCAGCATTCGCACAACCTCAAACACATTCGGATGTGTCTTCATGGCATACTTGTTGATTTTGTTGTGCCAACCTTCCAAATTATTGTTAGTTCTGTGTCCATCATTTTCAATATGATTCCAAGTTGGCAGAGTCCATGGACCTTCTATCCAGTTGGTAGTAACGTAATCCATCAGCTGTGTCGCCTCTCACCTAGTGGTGCGTCTGCAATGGCATCAAGCCAGACATGTTCAACTTTATCCAGTGGCACTAAAGGTAGAACTGCAGCTCGACGCACAAGTCTTTTCACATTGTTGTCTGACTTGTACTCTGGAGCAAGGCCTACTCTGCCATTTTGACAGTGGTAACAACATTTTCATGATCTATTATATGTACCCAAATGCTAAATGTTTTCAACAGCATTTCGATAATCCTTCTATTCCCAATATCACAAAACAATGGTAAGCTCTCTGTTTCTTTCCTGGTTTTTTTCCATGTTAAACTCCAAAATGGTAATCCTTCCACTCGCATAGCGTAAAATAATAGTCTGTTTGCAATTTTAATTCTCTTACAAATTGTTAAAAAGACATTTAGTATAATTAATTTAATTCACTTACCCATGGTACGAGCATAGCCACCAAAGCCACTTGCAAATCACTAAGCAAACATTCAAATTAACACCGTCACGGTATGATGACCACGCGATGTCGACACTCCGGGTTTTTTATTCTGTCGTCGGTTAGCCACATCATATTTTTCATTTGTCGACAGATCCGGCTGACACCCACATTTGCTCCTTGTGTAAATATACACGCATGCGTAGATGCGTTCGCTTGACACGTTTACATACGTGTGTATTTTTTACATGGTGTGTAAATTAGCTGACGTATGTAAGGAGCTGCATGCGAACGGGGTATAACTTGTGCCTTTGAGTATATTTTGTATATACATGTATACATAGCGAAATGCATGCCATAATGTTTTAGTGTCATACCATCAGTTCCACAAGCACATGACATTGTCACTGTAAGGGCTGTTAAAAAATCCACTATCTTGAGAAATTTCAGAGTTGATCGTACAATTCTGACTATATCACACAACCCTTTCCACTCTCTTGAGAAATTTCAGAGTTGATCGTACAATTCTGACTATATCACACAACCCTTTCCACTTTCTTAAGAAATCTCAGAGTTGATCGTACAATTCTGACTATCCCACTCAACCCTTTCCACTTTCTTGAGAAATTTCAGAGTTCATCGTACAATTCTGACTATATCACACAACCCTTTCCTCTTTCTTGAAAAAAGTTGATCGTACAATTCTGACTATATCACACAACTCTTTCCACATTTTTTTAGAAATCTCAGAGTTGATCGTTCAATTCTGACTACATTGTATATCACACAACCCTTTCCTCTTTCTTGAAAAATTCAGAGTTGATCGTACAAGTCTCACTATATCACACAACCCTTTCCACTTTCTTAAGAAATCTCAGAGTTGATCGTACAATTTTGACTATATCTATATCCCTTTCCACTTTCTTAAGAAATCTTTGATCGTACTTCTGACTAATCACACAGTTGATCGTCTTGACAAGTCTGATCTATAAGTCTGACACACACAACCCTTTCCACTTTCTTAAGAAATCTCAGAGTTGATCGTACAAGTCTGACTATATCACACAACCCTTTCCACTTTCTTAAGAAATCTCAGAGTTGATCGTACAATTCTGACTATATCACACAACCCTTTCCACTTTCTTAAGAAATCTCAGAGTTGATCGTACAATTCTGACTATATCACACAACCCTTTCCACTTTCTTGAAAAATTCAGAGTTGATCGTACAAGTCTGACTATATCACACTTTCCACTTTCTTAAGAAATCTCAGAGTTGATCGTACAAGTCTGACTATATCACACAACCCTTTCCACTTTCTTAAGAAATCTCAGAGTTGATCGTACAAGTCTGACTATATCACACAACCCTTTCCACTTTCTTAAGAAATCTCAGAGTTGATCGTACAAGTCTGACTATATCACACAACCCTTTCCACTTTCTTGAAAAATTCAGAGTTGATCGTACAAGTCTCACTATATCACACAACCCTTTCCACTTTCTTAAGAAATCTCAGAGTTGATCGTACAATTCTGACTATATCACACAACCCTTTCCACTTTCTTAAGAAATCTCAGAGTTGATCGTACAATTCTGACTATATCACACAACCCTTTCCACTTTCTTGAAAAATTCAGAGTTGATCGTACAATTCTGACACTAACCCTTTCCACTTTCTTGAGAAATCTCAGAGTTGATCGTACAAGTCTGACTTTCCACAACCCTTTCCACTTTCTTAAGAAATCTCAGAGTTGATCGTTCTGACAATTCTGACTATTTCCACTGTCTTAAGAAATCACAACTATATCACACAACCCTTTCCACTTTCTTGAAAAATTCAGAGTTGATCGTACAAGTCTGACTATATCACACAACCCTTTCCACTTTCTTAAGAAATCTCAGAGTTGATCGTACAAGTCTGACTATATCACACAACCCTTTCCACTTTCTTAAGAAATCCCAGAGTTGATCGTACAAGTCTGACTATATCACACAACCCTTTCCACTTTCTTAAGAAATCTCAGAGTTGATCGTACAAGTCTGACTATATCACACAACTCTTTCCACTTTCTTGAAAAATTCAGAGTTGATCGTACAAGTCTGACTATATCACACAACCCTTTCCACTTTCTTAAGAAATCTCAGAGTTGATCGTACAATTCTGACTATATCACACAACCCTTTCCACTTTCTTAAGAAATCTCAGAGTTGATCGTACAATTCTGACTATATCATGACTATGTGTTTGTTTGACGCCGCATTCAGAAGTATTACAGGTGAACGACCCGGCCTGCTAACTGTAAGGACACATTCAGTTTGTCATAACCAGGCGACTAAGTATTCAAAGTAACAACGATAAATGAATTATATGTGTGAAGGAAAGGGACAAGTGGCAAGACATCGAGACTGTATATTCTCAAGACACGAAAGAACAGTATAGCTACATGTACACTCTTCAAAATAGAAACGCATAGGTGATTTTGACAATATTGGACTCATGTAGCTGCTGCAAAAACAATACGAATATACTATTTCTTTCCAAAACGGCATCTTTGTGTGATGGTAAAGCGCTTCAGCACCAAAACTTTTCCCCTTGTTTCGAAGCGTTTGAAGAAATATTCGCCAAAACGTCACCAAGAAAACTTGCAGAGCAAAATGTACCTGCAAATAAAAGAGGAAATCATGCCACGACTGAGTGCCGCCAATCGAAACATCGCTAAAGGCCGCCTTGAAGCATGGGATTCGCATTCTGCAGTTGCTATCAGGAATCGATTGCAGGAAGTGGGGATTCGACGAAGAAAGCCAGTTGTCACCCCTGTTTTGAGAGACTTCCATCGGCGCAATCGCTTGCGGTGGTGTAGAACTGGAGCCTTAGAACCTGGAGGCGAGTCTGGTTTAGTGATGGAGCACGATTTCTTCTTCACAGGCGAGATGGAAGACAGCGTGTTTACCGTCGGAGAAATAAACGTTTTGCCCCTAATTACATTGCAGGTCGCCGCTGGAGGAAGTGTCAGGGTGGTTCAGGGGAATTTGACAGCAAATGGGTACATCAACGTCACATGATTCCGATTATGGACCGACAGAGGGAGCTGTTCCTGCTTGACAACGCTACTTCACATGTAGCACGCGTCACGGTCCGCTACCGTGCCAATTCTAACGTCAGTGTCTTGCCATGGCCTTCTCGATCACCAGATCTATACCCGATAGAACACCTATGGGATGAACTCGACGTCAAACACGCCTCAGACACTTCAACAACTGGCCATCGCATAGGGGTGAGTGGGGGGCGACTTCGTCGACTTATCCAGTCAGTGCCGAGCAGTAATTGGTGACCATACAAAGTACTGACTTTGACGCCATCTTAAACAGGTAAGCTGTGCTGGCGAACTCTTTGTCTATGGACGTGTGAATTTTCACATCTTTACCATTGAAATTACACGAAACAATTGCTCTTAAAACAACGCAAAAATTCTTTTAAAACGGTTTTTGCGTTTCCTTTTTTGAAAAGTGTATTAAGCTACATATGGTGTGTTTAGGACACTTTTTTATGTGAATAATTCAGGGCTCCAGATAAGGGTCGTATCGGCGTATGTACGGATAAAAAATATGCAAGATACGGTAGGAAATAGTTTAGAAAGCGTAGCAGATATGCACCACAGCAATGGTGTAGAATCTTAGAATCATTTACAGACGTATTTATCTGAAAAAGTATTGTTCTATTGTTTATTGACCTGTTTACACAAGATTAGCAATGTTGTGGTGCATATATGAAACGAAACACAAGATTAGTGATACGCCATTAATTTCCATTCAGTACTCTAAATGTACTCTTAAGGTTTTCCAGTACTCCTGTATTGAATAAATAAGGAGTACGTACTCCTGATCATGGAAAAATATCAGGAGCCCTGATAATATAATAAACGAACAGTGAAATGTTTAGCAGAACTAACTAAGTTACGGTATCTACAACAACCTAAAGGAAAATAGTACTCCAACTGCGACAGTGTTGATATATGGACAGGCTTCGCGGATTTAAAATTTTCTTATTATGGACTATAATCTTGACAGGTGATAGACGCTATTCTCGCAGGGCTGCGCGAATCGACATCAATTCGGGAATCGAAAGAATGAGAATGAGTGAGTGAGTTTAGTTTTACGCCGCACTCAGCTATATTCCAGCTATATGGCGGCGGTCTGTAAATAATCGAGTCTGGACCAGACAATCCAGTGATCAACAGTATGAGTATCGATCTGCGCAATTGTGAACCGATGACATGTGTCAACCAAGCCAGCGAGCCTGACCATCCGATCCCGTTAGTCGCCTCTTACGACAAGCATGGGTTACTGGAGGTTCATTCTAACCCGGACCTTCACGGGTCGAATGAATGAGAACCAGGATATTATAACATATTATATACCATAAGAACCTGACTGACTGACTGCGTTTGGTTTTACGCCGCTTTTAGCAATATTCCAGCAACATAACGGCCATAAGAACCTGAAGCCAAACTGACGTTGTATGTTTGTTGTTTAACGCCGCACTCAGCGGTACGGCAACGGTCTGTAAATAATCGAACCTGGACCAGACAATCCAGTGATCAACAGCATGAACATCTGGGATGTGATGACATGTGTCAAACCAAGTCAGCGAGCCTGGCCCACCCGTTCCCGTTTATCACAAGCATGGATTCCTGAAGACCAATTCTGACTGAGGTGTGTTTTTGAATGGTTGAAATAGACTTTTCTGCCAACCCATTGCATGCAGCTCAGTTCTAATTGTCTCCTTACAGACAGCCACGGTTCCTCTATCAATCATATACAGCCTTAAGTTTTCTAAACTCCTTCGTTTGTTTTTAGAAACAAGAATACCAAGCCGCCTCCTGTCACCGACAGTCAACTTTCTGGGCCTACCTTCGCCTCCATGGTGCTCAATGCCATATTCATCTGCAATATTTTTCAAAACACGACAAACAGTGGACAAAGGGATGCCTGTTCTACTTGAAATCACTTTAGCTGATCCGATGTCCTTGTTATAATACTCTAAAATCAACTTCCTCTTCTCTAAATCATCCATACTGAGGATCACTGAAAATGTCGTCTGCTAGCGAGTAAACAAAGGGGGATAACTCTTCACAAACTAATGAAAAGGACTAACGGAGTTGTCTCTCTTGAATGAAACCAAGCACTTGATAGCTGGTCAAGGTTGTTTATACTAGAAATCCAATTAAACATATTCCTAAAATTCTCAATAATTTCTGTTCATACTATATATGAACAAAATGAAATATCGCAATTACAACTTTCAAAAAATATATTTTGTCCTAATATAAAGCAGTTACCTTGTATCTTGTATTAAAAGTATCCGCCAATTTCTATATGAACGATGTCACATATAGAAAGAAGGAGATATTCGTGCTGCTTTTGCTTTGAAGGACACTAGCTCGATGCCATGTGTCATTTAACAAATAAAGCTACTTAAGTCAGGCTAATAGTCGTCCCATCGGAGTCGTTTCACACAAAACCACGCACAACATGATAAAAGACAGTCAGTGTTGGCAAAACTGAGTACTGTCTGGTCACATTCAAATGTAACCAAGAAGGCAAAAACGTGGACAAAAATAGTCATACTGTATAGGTGTGGTGTTGTGTTTTTTATTATTATTAGTATGGACCTTTTTAATAACATTAGCTTGTATACAGTTGTAACCATGCTACTTTCAAAAGCCTGAAGATTCACACAAAAACATCAATGTGTTCCCCTTGTCAAGACCACAATGAGTGGGTGGTATCGCAAGGACATGAATGGACTTAAAAAACATCAACTCGGATTACCTAGTAGGGCTCTCACGAGTACTCGGGTACTCGGGGCCGAGTCGGGTAAAGCAGGACTCGAGTCCAATTGAATGGACTCGAGGACTCGCAGGGGAGATACCATAAACATCTCATGCGATCAAGATGGATGATCGTGAGAAAAAATCCAATGTCTGGACGCATTTTTTATCTTGATTTAGTGGCCAAAATACGAAATGCCGTCTTTGTGGCGTTTCCCTTCGTTACGCAAGCATTTGTCCTGTAAGCACCCACAATAAGCACTGTAGACAGAAAACCAGCTCAACAAGCAACGCTGGGGCAGTTTGGTAAGTTTGATAGCAAAAGTCGCAAGCCCGTTGACAGGAAATGGTATGAAGGTATTACGCAAGCAATGCTTATGCGCGTTAAGGATATGCGACCATTAAGTCTTGTTAAAGGGAGGGTTTCAGGGCTTTCTGTGAACCATTGAACCCAAATTACCAGGTCCCATGTACTGCGACAATTCACAACTACCTCATAAAGTCGTATGAAGATTGCAAGGAGAACAAAATATCAGTACCCAAAACAGTACCTGCCGTTGCCCTAACTACGGACGCGTGGACAAGCGTAACCACTCACGGCTGTATCACTGTCCCTGGCCACTAGACCTATGTTTGAACAACTTGTTTTCTACATAGATATTCAGTCGTTCTTATCCAGCGTATTTCAGTGTTACATATTCAACAATCAACACATACATACGCATTCAAAATAACATTCACACTTGGAGACCTATATCCTTAATAGTGAAAATTTTAATCACAATGAATACCATTGACGTGATCTCCGTTCAGCAGAGTTTCGGAAGAAGAAATACAGCGTAGTGTTACTCAATAAATGGTTAGTCTTTAGTTTGAAACCAAACCGTTTTCACTATAAGAAGTCTCAAATAAACATCAATCCTGTTTTACATATTCTTTAAGTTCCATAGTCGATCCATCTTTACAAGATACTAGTATCTAATGCAGCACCAATCAATGAATGCTTTATCTATGTATCTTCCAGCTTTGGAACGTGTTTTGCCGCATTTTAACCATGATTAAGGTTAATTGATTATGTGACTTATCGTCCAGGTGAATGTTTAAAATTTGCTAATGTCATAACTGCAACGACATGTTAATCTTGAAAGCGCAGTAAAACTTAAAACCAAAAGAAAAGAGAAGTAGATTGATTGGTTTCTTTTCCCTGACACATCCAATCATATTACAGCATTTACAGGCGTAATAAGGTATCACCGGCCCAGCTCATGAATATTAATCACATAATTGATCGCGTAGAACTGGGTCACAGTGACACTTACGTTGCCTTCACATTCTGTTTGCAAATTAAAAGGTAATAGATACTTCCATTGACATTGAATATCAATTGCTTTATTCAAGAACGTTTGGATTCACATATACATGTTGCATTATTCGTAGATTGGAAGTTGGAACAGCTACGTCTATGCTTGAATGTTGGTTTCAGATAAGCATCGAAATTGTCGGGTACTCGGGTCCGAGTCGGGTCTGACACCTCGAGTACTCGAGTCCCAAATTTTGGACTCGTGAGAGCCCTATTACCTAGTGTTTCAAAAGCTTGTGCATAATGATTGAAAACGATTTCTGTACGACACTAATCTTTTCTCAATTGAATTTGAAATGGTTTGTCCCATGTGAATAGCTCACAACTTGACATTTATGCCTACAAACCTATCACTACCTGCTATAACTACAAACCTCTTATCGAACGAACTTGTACACTATGTCAGAATAACATTGTTGGTGATGAATACCATGTACGTTAGAGTTTTGACTTCTTTAGCGAATGTAAAAAAAACCCTGCTGTCTCCATACTTGTTAAACCTTGCTACTCAAAGGGAAAACAAATCTATACCTAGAAAGTTAAAGTCACATGCAACCAAAAAATCAAACATAATTACAACACAATTATCACTTATTCGTGATATATGATATACATTGCTGGTTATGAAAAAGCATATAAACAAAATTATAAGCGTACAATCGCAAATCAAAACTGCAATATTTTGTACTTTCCAAGAAACGAAGCACCCGGGATACCGAACCCAGTCAGAGCGGGTGGGTGTGCACTCAAGTGTAACGGCTGGTTCATTTGCAGATGCCGTCACGGCTCATTGTGTGTGTATATATATAGAGATGTTGGGTTTTGTAAATACATGCTCATTTTTTGTGTATAACATTTTTCAATCAACAGACATCATAACATGTTATGTGTACAAGTATCACACCTGCCTGTCTGTGTAATTACATAATGTGACAGAAACCGAACTCGGGCCATAAATCAATGCGTTTTGTTTATGGTGTATAGCCTTAAGTTCAAATTGCATGTGGTCAGTGATCGAAGTTGTGTATTGAATATTGTCATTAGCAGACAGGCAGGCAGACACATAGGCGTCAATAAAACAGACATTGAGTTTTGTCTGTGACAACGACATATCTATATCACAGTTATAAATTCTGTCAACGCTAAATAATGACATTGCTTTTAAGTATCGAACTGAGAAAGTGACTCGGTAAGAAGAACGTGTGGTGAAATAAACAAATGAAATTATATAAACAGTTAAATCGGTAATCTACTGTAATAACATATGAAAAGCTCGCGCCTGTGAAATATCAACAAAACATTAGAAAAATAGCTCACACCAAAGCCTTCACCGAGTATTCACCGGACAACCCGCTTCCAAGCTGCGCGAACCTATTTCACTGCGCATGTTCTATGAGCGCAGCCCAGCTGTTGAAACCACTTCAATTCCCCCACGCGCTGGGGAAAATTAGTGAATCGTTTGAACTCCGATTTCGCGCGGATTTTTTCATCGCGTTATTTTTCAGTTTTATAAGCTGAATTTGCACTTTTGATGATTTGTTTCGGTTAGTCCATACCGAAAGGTATCAGAATCTGCAAAGTTGTGTTTTACGTTGCATGTGACCTTTAAGTAAACTTTGTTCTCTTCTAATGCAGAATTGTAAGTCCTCTGGATAAACAAGGGGAGGTGGGGTAGCCCAGTGGTAAAAGCGTTCGCTCATCACGCCGTAGACCAGGTTTGATTCCCTATATAGGTACAATGTGTGAAGAAATTTTCTGGTGTTCCCCGCCGTGATATTGCTAGAAACCTGAACTCACTCTCTATAGAAAAACAAATACTCATCTGTAACTTTTCCACTTTGTGTAGCTTTAATACATGCCTATTGTATATATAGCCAAATGTTCCGCCATAATGTATTTTAAAACATATTGTACATTGAAATTTACATGCCACGACATGTGGCCACAAAGTATTGAGGTGAGGTGAAATTGGGTTTAACGTCGTGCTTGAGAATATTTCGCTCATATGACGACGTGCATGCGTGTGTACGGGTGCTTGTACTAGCCCAGACTTAAGCTGGTTTTATAGTGCTAGCTCACTGAGATACCATGCCGCAGTGAAGCATGAATACCCCACTCAGACACATTATACTGACTTCGAGCCGACAAGTCCTTTTTGTACCCATTAATGCCGAGCGCCAAGCATGGACCAACAAGTATCATATTTTTAACGTCTTTTGGTATGACGCGGTCGGGGATCGAACCCGCGACCTTCCGCTCTCCCTGAAAGTATTGAAGTTCTGTTATGAAACACGTGGTTACTGCGACCATACAGAAAGACATGGCTATTGACATTTCAGTTCTCTTTTACGACGGTTGGTTGGTTTGTTCTTTTACGCCACACTCAGCAATATTCCAGCTATATGGAGGCGGTCTGTAAATAATCGAGTCTGGACCAGACAATCAAGTGATCAACAGCATGAGCATCGATCTGCGCAATTGGGAACCGATGACATGTGTCAACCAAGTCAGTGAGCTTGACCACCCGATCCCGTTAGTCGCCTCCAACGACAAGCATGGGTTACTGAAGACCAATTCTAACCCGGACCTTCACGGGTGGATCGCATTCGAGACCATGACTCCCGTTTATTTGGAAGTTTGAAATCAACCATGTTTGTTTTCAATATCACACAACCTGTGAGTCACCAGTGAATCTACAGGGTCATGCACGGTCGCGTCTTGATTGTATAGGACCGCAACGCGGCTCTGGGGTACCTTGAATCGTATTACGTGAGGGCACAAAAGCCTGACTGCAAGATAATTCGTAGATAAACTTGCTCTCATTGTCAGATGTTGTATTTGGTGTTATTTGGGGGATAATCTGTTCTTTTTAACGTGGTTGGTATCAATTCCCGTTTCCATCCATCCCCAGATTCATGGGCGGATCCAAGGGGTGCGGGAGGGTTCTCTCCCCCCCCCCTCAAAAATTCCTCGATCCGCCCATGAGTTTATTACGTCGTGTCCCGCTGCGATATGTCGCGACATCCGTCTCGCTGCAAACACAACCAGAGGGAAGCTGCAGCGTGAGCTAGGGTTTCAGTAGTTACCTCCCTTGAATGTGTAACCGCCTGCACGTGAACCAACTCATTATACAGCAATACTGATGTACGAATATAGTCCCCACAGTAATAAGGAGCATGTCCAAATTGTCCATTAATACATGTAAAGGAAAAGGCGCAATGAGACTCTTTGGAATCTCAGAACCCATCAACCTATTGGCTTTAAGTATGTTTATCACGGCACCAGTCTCATTCTGATCTTAATGCTGAAAAAGTGTCTGCAGTTTTCTTTTTTTTGCATATAAGAATCATTTTCCAAACTTTTGCTCTGACACTGGAGCTGTGACTGAAGTCTGTCTCACAGTCCCTGAGCTAGTGGTGGTCCTATTAATTGAAATAATCGAAGATTGGTCGCAATGACAAAACGACCAAGCAATCGATCATGTTTTCTCATAATCGAACACAAACAATTTTGGAACACTTGTTTGCAATAACAATATTTTTCAAAAGGTTGTTTTTGTCTCTACATTGCATAAGCACTACAAGCTCGTTCCAAGTCATGATTAAATTTATCTTAACAACTCCAGGAAATGTATGTTCCTAACACACTAGTCATCCTTTAAAGATGTGAAATTTGCAAATGCATTTTGTGCAAATTGCGGAAAAAACTGAGGGAACTACAGTTTTTTTCTTTATTAATTGTGCATTAACAAACATAACCAGAAAATTTTGATAAATGACGCTAACCAATTATTTTCGATGATTGATCGGTTGTAAAGAACCAATCATCAATTATGAGATTTACACCAATTTCCAACACTACCCTGAACTGCATTATTTTCCCTACTGCCTAGCCCACCCTGCAGTGCTAAAGCCCTAAATAAAGAAGGTCTAGATTTCCACAGGTTCAGGTACTGAATCTTCCATCTCATCTCTTGTTTCTATCAAAATCATGTATAATCAGAAACAAAGCTTTATTCTATTGTGGCTAGCAGTATGTTGATGGCCTGTAAATAATCATTCTGGACCAGATAATTCAGGGGTTGACACAATGACATTAATTAGTTTGCAAGCACAATATCCAGATGCTGCCAAGCTGCCAGTGTAAGCTGAACCTTCAGGAAGAAACAAATTCACTACTCCTTTAGGTCTACAGTGAGTGAGTGGGTGAGGAGTTTAGTTTTAAGCTGCTTTTAGCAATATTCCATCAATATCATGGCAGGGTGCTACCAGAAATGGGCTTCACACATTGCACCCATGTGGGGAATTGAACCTGGGCCTTCGACATGACAAGCGAACGCATTAACCGCTAATCTACCCCACCTCAGCATTCGAAATAATCGCGACCGAGGCCCAGCGCGGGTTGTTATTGTATCGGCCGGCAGTTTCAAATATTTGCAGGCCCTTGTGGCCTTCAGTAAATTTTCTGTCAATGTATTTTTTTTCAGCTGGAATCTTTCCCATTTTGTTTTTTTTAATTAACGTTCGGGAATCATCCATGATCCATCATATTACGAAACTTTCAGTTTCACTTTCTGGTATTTTAGCGCTTTTGACGCTGGAATGTCAACACCAGTCTTTAACAAATAAATACTTCTTTCAGCGCCATAGGCTTCGCTATTTGAAACGGTGTAGTCTATTTTGTTTTGATTGGTTTGATTTTGACAAAATGGGCCTGCAGATTTCATTCAGGGCCTGTAGATTTTAAGGCCTTCAGGCGGCAGCAGGCCCTAATGGCCAACTGCCAAATTAAAGTATTGTGAACACTGCCCCACCTCCCCATTATCTACAGTGAATCCACGCAACACGGATATAGGGATGGACATCTTTACACCACACTTTACAAAAGAGTTTGTCAACATTCGCTCATTTAAAATCATTTATTCATAACATTTCATTAAGATGCAAACTGATAATCGGACAATGTACAGGGGCGGCTTGTGAATCATGAGTGGTAGAACATGTGACAAGGGAATGGTATAAATACAATTATGCTAGCATCATCATCAATGGTGTCTCTTCATTTTCCTCTCCATCTTTTTCTGTTTCTTCTCATCAACTTCTGGAGGGGCCTCAAAAAACCAGGGAGACAAAATATTTACCCACAACATGTAGAATGCTCGTCCTGGAGCCTGGAATAGATAACGGAAACATTCAAGCATGGAACACAAAGCAGGGTTAGAGGTTAGATGAAATGGTTTTAAGGTCATATTTTTTTTGTTCATCCATTACATACCTTAGGTATTATCTGGAGCCCTGAACATGCATGGATAGGTGTGTGGCAATTTGTTTTTTCATTTGTTGTTTAATACAGCACTCAGCAATATTCCAGCTATATGGTGGTGACCTGTAAATAATCGAGTCTATACCAGACAACATGAGCATTCATCTACGCAATTGGGACACAATGACATGAGTCAACAAAGTCAGTGAGCCTGACTGCCTGATCCCGTTAATCGCCTCTACTTCATGCATGGGTTGCTGAAACCAATTCTGACCTGGATCTTCACAGGTAGTGTGGCAACTTGTACAAGTCCAGACAAATGATGGTTTTACAGTGATAGATCACATGGATACCATGCCACAGTTTAACACAGATACCCTGCAGGCACAGTTGACAGACTCCAAGCTGACCTGTCCTTGCTTAACCTTGTGTGAGGCAAGGTAACAACAAGTAGCATCTTAGAGTGTTCTGGCATAAAGCAACCGCCTCCGTGGCTTAGTGGTTAGAGCGTCCGTCCGGAGAGCGGAAGGCCGCGGGTTTGATCCCCGACCGCATCATACCAAAATACGTTAAAATATGGTACTTGTTGGTCCCTGCCTGGCTCTCGGCATTAATGGGTACAACAAGGACTTGTCGGCTCGGAGTCAGTATAATGTGTCTGAGTGGGGTATTCATGCTTCACTGCGGTATGGTATCTCATTGGGCTAGCACTAGAAAACCAGCTTACGTCTGGGCTAGTACAAGCAGCCGCACATACACTTACACACGCATGCACATCTTCATATGAGCGAAATATTCTCAAGCACGACGCAAAACCCAATTTCACCTCACCTCTGGCATAGAGCAGCTGGCTACTGAACCACTGACCTCCTCTCCAGGACGATAATTGAGTGAGTGAGTTTAGTTTTACGCCGTTTTTACTTTTAGCAATATTCCAGCCATATCAGGGCAGGGGACACCAGAAATAGGCCTCAGACATTGTACACATGTTGGGAATTGAACCAGGGTCTTCAGCATGAGGAGCGAACGCTTCAACCACTAGGCTACCCCACCGTCCCACAAGCATGATTAGAGACGGGGTGTGACAACCATACACTGTAGTTTTTAAGTTCAGTGGTGATAGTGTAAGAAGGTCCTCATGTCATATTCAAAACAATTCTAATTCTTATTTGGAACATCTACCAAAAATGTTCCACAAATATGTGTTGTACAAACATTTGAACACTAAGACAACACTTACCAGCAACCAAAAAATCCAGAAATAGTTTGATATAAGAGACATTGTCTGTACTATAGCGGTTAGAATCAACAGGTCCTTAGAATGCCTGAAACAGAATCATGAGAATAGTTGTATAATAAACAGACCGTGACATACAGAAACGACTTTTACTTTACAGAAACATAAGCAACAGCTTGTTGTGTCCTCAATTGTACATATAAGTGTAGTGAGATATTAAAGTAGATGAGGTGATCGACCTGTCACTTCTTTATTGAGAATGTCTAACTACAAAGGGAGGTAATCCCAACAAGATCAGATAAAGCGCATACCGTTACACAGCCTACAAAAAACAAAAGCAATCAGTGAACAAATATTCCTGTCAGAATTCTTATGGTAACATTTTTTGCATACTGTGTTTAGGTACAGGTGAGTTTCATAATTGTGAGTGGGTGCAACTGAGCTCAAACAATATTGTGAGCAGGTAAATTCCGACCAGAAGCTACATACTCTGCCATGCCTGACTCCATGTTGAGATCCAGATTACGGGAAGCTATTGACCCCATAAACTGGTAACTTGCAAAGTGAACACCAAGTGCCAGTACAAACATCACCTGTCAAACAAAACACATCATCAAAAGACCTCAAGACTCTCATGTAAATATATATGCTTTAGGCATCAGCTAATAGCAATCACTAATCAGTGGACAGGACATTTTGCACTGATTGCAATGGAGACATACTGCAATATGACATTTATCAGGTTTTACCAATACCACCCTTTTTATAAATTCATTATTAAACATTTATCAGCATCTTTTGATTGACAATCAATCACTGTCACAGAACATTGACTAATGTGAAGTTGTGCTGTTGACATGCAGCTTGGTTGACAATTACAACCACAGTTGCACTGATCAGGTTGTTTCAAAATGTGCTATTACCAGTAGAGGACATTACCTGTACAAGTGACTACCTGATTCACTCATTCGCATGTGTCATTCATTCGCATTTGTCATTCATAACATTGTATTGATATCACCATATGGCATCTGACTTAAATCAGAAACATATAATTACCATGATAACATTTACAAGTTGCTAAAAGTGGACTGAAATCTTCATAGTTACTTTTGGTTTGGTAACTTTTTAACCGATACTCCTCTTGTGACGGAATAGGGAAATCGACTTACCATGATTATCATGCTTACAAATGGAAGGATATTAATGTTGTCAAGCTAACCTGGTACAGTGTTTAGACACTAAAGACGCCAAATAACAGTGGATATGGAATAATAGTTTGCTGTCAAATGAGAAGTAAATACATGCTAATGGATGTGTGAATCATTTGGAAACATGTAAAACATACTAGACAAAACATGACACTGAATTTGGCTTATAAAAATTAGGCTAAAACATCTAAATCATAAATGTATCTTGTGTGACCGAGTGAGATGGGTTTAATGCTGTTTTTTTCAGTTGTATGACAGCTGAATCTGGCAGGAAAGCCCAAACTGATGGAGCCAGGAGCTTTACATCCTTGGTGGCACCCATTGGTATTCTGATGAAAAATTTAAAATCATCATCTGGGTGAACCAGAATTGCAGCCATGCCCCAAACAACCTATTCATTATTCATGTGTTAGGTCGGTGTCATGCTCATGTCCACAAGTCACTGTGATGCCACTTTAAAAATAATGGTAAAGTCTCAGAACACCTTAGGTATTAGACCATTTCACTGATTATCATGATTATTGACATGACTTACGATTGATCCTGTTGTAAACTGGTCCCAGAAAAAACAGAAACTGGACAAGGACATAAAATACCTGAAAAATATGATAAATATGAATATATAAAGTAAACATTTAAAAGTCACAAACAATAACATTATCTGATAATATATCAATATGTATCATGATGTATACATTATCAGCACATAGGGTGTGAACAAGAAGCTAGTTCAATGGCCTTCCTACATTATTTTGATTGTGACTGTATCCACTCCCTAAACTCTAGGTATCTATGGCGTTGCTGTGATAAATGTATTCTTTTCATGCTACATATTATTTACCTTACTTTCAGAATACATTAGACTGTACACAGACAAAGTGTACTTTCACATTATATAAATATTACAGAAACAGATCATGCATACACTAAAATTTACTATATTTAACTTTGAAAGGCATGAATCAATAGTAATACTAATAGTCTGCTTATATGGCGCTCATATCCAGGCACATTGCCTGCTCACGGCGCTACGTACATTACTATCCCCAGTCATAGGACACTATCGTACTTTCCGATACCTTTTCAACTCCCTGGGGATCATACAGCCATTCTGCCTGTTAGAAGCTTAATGAACTAAACACTTTCGCATTGCCAGCACATCCTCCACGGGTACCCATTTTATTGCTGGGTGAACTGAGACAATGTGGATCTAAGTATCTTGTCCAAGGATACTATGCAAATGTGCCCACCTCGGGACCAAAACCTAGGTGCCTCCACCGTGGATCAAACCCGGACCTTCAGCATGATAGGCAGATGCCTTACCACTGCACTATTGCGCTCACACGCAGAAAACTTGAACCCATAAAATCACCCGTTTCTTGAAAATGATAAAGTGGAACACTTACATTTACACCTCCAATTATCATAAGATAAAACTTCAGTGATGTTTTATTTTCCTCATCAATTTGCTTCTGTCCTTTTGTCCCTTGTTTTCCTTTGGGCTGAAATGAAATCATTCTATGTAACATACTTGAACTACACTCTGACAATTCTATCATCTAAGCATCTAACAATAAGTAACACGTCTACTACTGATGTTAAAATCTGGTCATTTGTTAATTGGAATATTGTACATGAAACATCCCCAATGGCTGCAATACACACTCGCTAAAACCCTGGTTAAACATACAAATGTTTGACAGGCATTTAGAAGTTGGTAGGGTAATACAAGTTACAACACACTTGAATGTGCAACTTCTATATTATTTACACACTATTTAACTTAATCCCCTCACCAATCTGTTGTAATAACAACTCTGTGGCTTCATGTACATACTATATATACCTCTGTAACTATTCACTGTCATTCACCAGATGAAGGGGCAAGTATTAGCCCAGAAACGTCGTGTGTAAATAATAAAGAACTTGCACATCAATATCAAGTGTGTTGTATTAAACATACAAAGATTTCTTTCTTAGTGACACTTTTTACTTTTAGAAGTGGCAAGAGTCAGATAAGGACAAACTTTATGGATGAACAACTTCTTTATTCAGATGATGCGACGTTTCGATACAGATTCTTGTATCATTGTCATACCTGCTTGTCATTCGGTTGTGACATGGCCATGTTGACACTACAGTGTATGCAAGTTGCAACCATCCTCCATTTGAACATTATGATTATCCAGTGTATACAATATCAGGAAATGGTAGTATTTTCCATGCTGCTCCCCAGCAAAGCAACCTTTCTAAATCTAAAACTGGATATAAAATAGTTCATAAAGCGTAAGCGAAATGCCAAAAGAAGCTAAAGACTGGGAGCGACAAGGTATCGACGATACATTTCATCTCATAACATATTGTCCACATCTTAATCGTTTTCAATTTCACTGCCAGAGGTCTCGCTCAGTGGAGCAGCTCACTTTCATGGAGGTGTTTGATCTAATGAGTGTGTTGCATTGCCTCGGCAAGAACATCACACAGTATAATATAAAACCCAAACGACTGAATGACAAGAAATACATGACTTACCGGCATCTTGAAGCCAGTCACAGATGTTCCGTTGCGTGACAATATTCCCGGAAGTAATGTAGAGACCTCTACTTCCGGAATGGGAACTCAAGAATGATAACTCCAGTCAAGAAGTTGTCCCGGAATGAAACAAGTTATCGCGAGGATTACAAGACTCTAGCTCCAGCCCTAACTACGCAAACGATGGAATCAGTTTAGATATGTACAAACGCTTTGGGGGATTACCAGTCGAATGCTTAACAAACCGAGTCCACATGCTTTCCTATTGATGCACTTTGATTTGAGTATATTATAAATTATCCATACATTCTGTATGTTCCGCCCAAGACTTAACAGCAAAACACTAACTGGTGTTTTATTCATATATTGTCGTGAGTTTATATATTTTCGGAAGTCAGTGTTTTCTATCGTTACATCGGGGTGTGTTGCGCGTGTAAATACTCGGATAGTGGGCTGTTTTGAAGATGACGTTGTCTTTTAGAATTATCTGTTCTGTTAAAAAAATCTGTTTTGTTCCGAAAACACTTATCCTTCCGTTTAAAGGGGTTTTCCGTTGTTATTTTCGATTTTATCGCATGAACAATTGTAAAACGTGCCACCAACATATTATTTTGCTGGAATCCGCCGTCTCAAAATGTATGACATACGAAAACGCATGCTCCAACGATAACGTTATTTATATAACTTTATATAACCTCCTCGTTATACAGCTAAAGCAGTCCGAGCGTTTATCACCCACTTGTATTTGTCTCTCCCTCGATCACTCATCAAAACGACACGTGAGATACATTGCTAGAATTATTTCCTTTATCTACTTTAGTCAGTGTGAGCGAGTTCAGATTTACGCTGCATTGAAGAATCCTTAGTCTGTATCACACCGGGCCAGTTTGATGTTGGAGTAACGCCCGAGGTCGGGCAAGCATAGGCGGATCCAGAAAGTGTGTGTGTATGGGGTGTGGGGTGGGGTGGTGGGTGTTTTACAGGGGTGCGCACCCCCGCTTTTGTCCTGAAAGTTTATTAAATGACCATTGAAACTCGGGTGAAAATGAAGTGTGCACCCTCCCTTTTCTCAATAGTGTGCACCCCCCATTTCTCTAAAAGCTGTATCCGCCCCTGGCAAGTCTTAGACGTTGACATGTTTGGTGAAATCCACGAGCACGGGTATGGTGCTGACAAGTGTAAGTCTAATCAGAGCGAACGGGGATTCGAACCCGGGACCATAGGCTTAAGGCACGTCTAAAGGGCACAACTCTGCACAGCGAAATGCGACGCCTCACATGTATATTCATAGACCCTACACCAACCGTTGACCAATTCTGCTGGGTGTGTTATATCGCATGGCACTTCTGAACGCAGTTGTTCCCCACAATATCCATATGTTTGACGTTGTGTGGTTCACACTTTAAGTTATAATTTCGATGTCATTGGATGAAATGTTTGACAAGCAAATGCACACATCCACTTATTTGTGTCGATCAAGCGATTAATTAGTTCGCTCGTCTTCCCGAAGGCACAGGTTCGAGTCGGAACATGGTCACAATGTATGAAGACAAGGTCTGCAATCCGAATTATTCCTCGAATCTTGCTGAAGATCTGGAAAAATACTGAAAAATATTCCGTGACTCTCATTTTGTTTTTGTATCTAACGAGACCCAGACTCCACTGTGAAATGTTGATGAGTATACAGTGTTAAATACACCAACGGGGACGGTAGGGTAGTCTAGTATTTAAGCGTTTGCTCGTCACGCCGAAAATCCGGGTTCGATTCGCCCTGATTCACAATCCCTGAACCACATTATTTTCCCTACTGCCAAGCCTCTCTGAAGTGCTAAAGCCCTAAATAAAGCAAGTCTAGATTTCCTCAGGTTCAGGGTATGTTAACATCTGCAAGAAAACTAACTCACTTTGGGGGTCGGGTTACAAAGTAAACATATCTAACTAGCATGGCTGGCCGGACCAACATCCTCACCTCTAATTGGTAATGACCTCGGCACATGTAGCCCCAATGCAGATGTTCTAATCTCTCGTCTCCCTAGGGCTCCTTTTCAATTTAAATGGGCTTGTTTGTTACTATCAAAATTATGTATATTCAGAGACTAAGACTCATGGTCTCCCTAGGGCTCCTTTTCAATTTAAATGACTGACTGACTGAGTTTAGTTTTACGCCGCTTTTAGCAATATTCCAGCAATATCACGGCGGGGGACACCAGCAATGGGCTTAACACATTGTGCCCATGTGGGTATTCGAACCCGGGTCTTCGGCGAGACGAGCCAACGCTTTAACCACTAGGCTACCCCACCGCCCCCAATTTAAATGAGAGAGAGAGAGACGTCCGTCCATAATCATTTTGTTTCCAGAGCATAACTAAAAAACCGTTAAATATGTTTTTGGAAAAAAAATTGGTATATGTATCAAGCAGAACCTAAAGTGGTGCCTTTTGCTATTTGCAGATTTGTGTCATTTTTAATTTTCTTGGTTTCTATGGAAACGTTTCGGACTTAGTCTCAAAAGCGAGGGTGACCTTCGTTTCCGGAGCACAACTCGAAAACCGTTCAATATCTTCCTACAAGACTTGGTAGATAAAATCAAACAGAAGCTAAAGTGGTGCCTTTTGCTATTTGCTAATACAGAGTAATTCATGCATTTTCAAATATATGGATACAGATGTACATTTGGTGTGGGAGATCTGCTACAAACATGCATGTTTCTTTTCAAGTAAATGGCTAAACCTTTGATTAAGTTTACATCTGTGCAAGACATGAGTTGAACAAACTTTTGCTGTGTTGGATAGTGACGTAAAGTAACCCTCAATTATTACCGACCCCAAGTCTCAATATGTTGAGCTGAGACGACTACAGACGTCTAGACCTGAGTAGACCTGATGCTTGTGGAACGGGGTATTCCACACTTTAACTATGCACTGTAAGGCACGCTGAGTACTCGCGTGTCTGAAGCTACACGCGTGGCTTGTCATCAATATTCAAGCCACCTGTCACTACTCCCGACAAGCCGTGGCAGAAGGACAGCAGAGCACGTGGAGCACACGGGAGGATATGTGTACACTGTACAAGGTAACTAATACTTGAACTGTTGATCTGTTTCTACAGGTACTCTAATAACAGAAGTAATATTGGTAGGAGCTTCCCAGTAACTTGGACGTCTTAAGCCCCTTGGGGTCATTCAAACAGACCTCTTTGAGAAAACTACTACTACTACTACTACTACTACTATAGGAGGCGCTGGGGTAGCCTAGTGGTTAAAGCGTTCGCTCGTGACGCCGAAGACCCGGGTCCTATTCATCACATTGGTAAAACGTGTCAAGCCCATTTTTGGTGTTTACCGCTGTGATGTTGATTGAATATTGCTAAAAGCGGTGTTAAACTAAACTCACTCACTCTACTGCTACTACTACTGCTACTACTGCTGCTGCTGCTGCTGCTACTACTACTACTACTACTACTACTACTACTACTACTACTACTACTACTACTACTACTACTACTACTACTACTACCACTACTACGACTACTACTACTACCACGTTCTACTATTACTTCTACTGCTGCTGTCACTGCTATTTACCGCTGGGTACAAAATATGATCATACATACAAATTAAGTAAAACTAATTTTTTGTTTGCTTTCCACAGGTCAGTTTACATATGTGGACATAAATGTATCGCTTTAGTTCAAAGGTGCTTTCTTTATTCATCTCGTCACTATTAATACGTATAAATATTTTCCTAATTAATGTTATTTAACCCGTTTACAGCTATCCTATTTCTTATATCTTTGAACCCGTTTTCACAGTCAGTTCATGAACAAAGTATGATTTTTATAACCGCGATTTCTTCCTAACAATAAAACAGATACACACAACCCACGACCCTGATTCACGTACTCTAAAACAAGTTCATGTCAGGGACAACAACGTGCTTACCGAAGCACGGGGAACTGCGTCAGCTGGCTGGTGGATTTCATTGATTGCCCAACATCGGGCCGTACTATACGTAGCCATTCATCCATGTCTCAGAAATGATACATTACTTCACATAAATACCCATATATTGAGTTCAGTAGATTGCTATGATCACTCGTCCGAGTGGCGGTTGTGATCAGTTACTGAACTAATAGTTAATCGAGACGAACCTAAAGGTTATAGAAGGTTGTATGCATTATACGTTCCTTACGTAGTAATAACAGTATTTTATTACTCACCCGTTGAAGATATCACTGTTTCATAATTTTACAATGTTATTACACATTGTTAATAACATCCCGTGATGCCGTATGTATGACGTCAAAGTGAATGGTATTGGTATCTATATAAACCATTCACTCGTTTCATAAATATGTTATTACACAGGATATAGTTTAAATATCTTATTTATTACTCACCCACATTAGCAAAATAATATAGAATTCAAAGAGTGTGATGGCTCTCAACTTTCCGCGAGTCAAGCAAGGTCTAATACTTTTGAGACAGAGGTATTGGCATTGTGACGTCATAACTGTAAATCACTTTGACGCCATACGCATGGCATCACGCGATGTTATTACACAATGTGTAAGAACATTGTAAAATTATTTTAGACAGTGATATCTTCAACGGGTGAGAAATAAAATACTGGTATTACACGGAATACTTCATATTACTGAGTGAGTGAGGGACTATGGTTATACGTGTCTTTTGGCAATATTAATATCAACGGTGGGAGTTACTGGGAATGGTCTGCATACATGCTACTCATTTGAGGAATCGAACCCAGGTCTTCGACGGGACAAGCGAACGCGTTAACCACTAGGCTCCCTAACTGAGAACATGTTTGATAAATGGGCTATGCTGCGCCGATTAGAGATGCTAGTATGTTGGATTACCTGCTAATTCAATTTGATATAAGACATATTTACAAATATGAATATCATTCTAACAGTAAATGGTTCCACAAGCCACACAGTCAACGCATCAGTCCAGGATGATGCATTTAGACCGTTTTATCCTGACCGTTGTTTTCTTAGCAATAAATTGTGACGAGCACGATGATGTCATGTTATGAGTGAGTGAGTTGGATTTTACGCCGCTTGTAGCAATATTCAAGCAATATTATGGCGGGTAACACCAGAGATGGCTTGACACTTTGTACCCGTGTGGAGAATCGAACCCGGACCCGGACCCACGGCGTGACGAGCAAACCCTTCAACCTCTGGGCTACCTCACCGTTATGAGCGCCACTTACCATATTTGTCGAATGTGTAATGTCAGCAAACTCGTGTTAGACAGCTTGGCGCAGCTCGCTTCTCTGAGTAGGTAATTTTCTGTGTAATGGGGACATTTTCCAACACGAAATGTGAGTGGGCAACCTGGCAATAAAACTAGACACGAGTGAATATATTTACTGTCAAGCTATGTATGTATGTCAGCCAGTGCTTGGCACCTGTCTTGGATCTCGGGCAGTAGGTGGGTGGCGAAGTCGTCGAGTGGTAATCCCGTCCACTTGCCAGGTGGAAGACACGGGTTCGATTCCTGCATTTGTAAATTTTGTGAAACCCATTTCTGTCTTCGGAAAGATTTCCGCCCGAAACCCCCGGTTTCTTTTTATCATTCTATGCTTCAGAACAGATGGTTATTATAAAAAAAACCTTAGCACTAACCAAACCTTAAAACCCTAAACCTAACCCTAAAACCTCGAAATGATCCTAACATATAGAACATTTCAAGCGGGGTTACGGGCGGAGCACTTACCGGTGTGGGTAGCCACAGCTTACAAGCGATCAAGGCCGGTAAATTCATATCTGATCAGCTATTCACAGAAACGAGAAGAGCAAGTGACCACAAACTCGAGACAGTGAACAGGGTCATGTAAGTAAAAGGTCTCAAATTCACCTCACAAGTTACCTCCCTTTGTATGAAAAAAAAATCATTTAACAAGGGAAACATGAAATGATCATGTTTCATCGTGCGTGAAACAACTTAATCTTGCTGTTTTCGTCTATATTAGAGTTATCTCCCTCTGATGATTGATCGAGACGATGAGAATTTATCAGAGCGTAGAATGACGTGTGTTATTCAAGCTGAAGGCATGCTTAAAGGTGAATTTTTGTGAATGGCTTGTATTGTTGGGTCTGGGAGTTCTAGGCGCACGTTGTCCCCGTGTGTCCCCAGCCTGTATATTTGATACAACGCTGACATGAACACACACGGGAAATCCAAACAATGGCGTGGTATGTGAGGTAAGAAACGCACCCAATGTTATTACCGATCGTTATCGTGTATAGAAATATGAGCTTTAACTTTTATAAGGCCGTTCTCTGATATTTATCAGCATTTGTGTTGTGTTTTAGATTTGTAAACACCTCACCTGTGGTGACAACCGCAATTAAAGGTGTTTCATGGTAAGAACAATCTGCAGCTGAACAGGTGTAAGGTATTCAAGGCATGTATGGCTGTTTGTATAGGTTAGTCATGTCTAAACCAAGTGTCATGTTTCAGAGTAGTAATAAATCTCAGGGATTCATTCACTACCTCATACCATTAGACTCGGTCCGGAGTAAATGAATGTAACTATGACAGATCGCTCAGTGTGAGCAGCTGGATGTAGGTTTGACGTAAGTGCATGTTTGTAGAATGGGTTAAACCGTTGAATATCGGAAGTGACACAGATCTTGGACGTACATGTATTTAGGTTCACTGGGACAGGTGACAGGTAGGTAGACTGGTTCTCTCTCTCTCTCTCTCTCTCTCTCTCTCCGTCTCTCTCTCCTTCTCCCTCCGTCTCTCTCCATCTCATTCTCTCTCTCCCTCCCTCCGTCTCTCTCCCTCTCTCCACCCTTCCCCCTCCCTCTCTCCACCCTCTCGTCGCTCTCCCGACCCCTTTTCCTTCTCTCCCTCCCTCTTTCTCTCCCTTCCCCTCTCTCCTCTCCCTACTCTCTCTGTGAGTGATTACACCATGGCTTAGAATGAACAAAGACGTAATGGGCATTCTGTTTATACGTCACAAGACCGTAAGTCCAGTGCTAGCGTGTCTACACTATGTCTATGTAGTGTGTGACTAGTGACGGGACAGAACAGGTAGGGGTTGTTCATGTGTGGAATGCAGATGGATTGACGAGATTTATAAGGAAATTAAAGCGTGAATATCCGTAACACGCACAATGAATAGCCATTACCTGTTTATGCTTGTGTTCAGGTACGCATGATAAAGTATTATGACAACACTGTAATTAACAAATGCAAATCTTGCGTACCTGGATTTCATCATCTAACGCAAGCAGGCATCGCCCATACACTGTAAATTCTACTGCAGTGTATAGAAAAGGCCCTACACGTTGTTCTATTGTTAGACATTTAGATCGATGTTGTGAGTGAGTATGGTTTTACGCCGCTTTTAGCAATATTCCAGCAATATCACGGCGGGGGACACCAGAAATGGGCTTCACACATTGTACCCATGCTGGGAATCGAAGCCGGGTCCTCGGCGTGACGAGCGGACGCTTTAACCACTAGGCTACCCCACCGCCCTCGCTGTTGTGAGTTTATGAGACATATTACATACTTGGGGCAGGACAGGGACAGATATATATTGCAAGCCGCCCGAAACAGTGTAACAACATTTTACACGTTTGTATTAAATGTCAACTCGTTGTAACCCAATATGGATGATAAAGTGCGAGTGAAGATTCAGTAGCTCAATAGCTTGCTGTATTATTAAATCCATTAGAGTACTAATCACGGCGAACATCAATATTCACTCACTCACTTCACATTCTAATAAACACAGTTCGGCGTTAAACCAAACGTATACTGACGCCCCCGTATATGTTGTATGCGAGATTGACATATGTATGGCACGATAGGAGCTCTGCTTTTATGCGGGGCGGCGGGTTAGCCTAGTCCAAGCGTTAGCTTGTCACAGCGAAGACCTGGGTTCGAATCCCAATATTCGTATTGTGTGAAGCTTATTTCTAGTGTTCCACCGCCTACTGCTGAAAGCTGAGTAAACTTCTACAACTCGCATCTGCCCTGTTCTTCACGGAGAAATATGCCCCGCTCACTAATGCCTAGACTTGCACAAGTCTCCAAGATAATAATTAATAGTTTAAATGATCATTTTTAAAAATATAAATATTCAGATTGGCATCCTTTGATGTTCTTTCCGCTAATCTGACTTGCCTCTTTAAAGAATAGAGTTACTATACATCCATTGGGCATTGGTTTAGCATTCAGTACAGCCTTGGAGCAAGGCTAACCTATACCCGACTCATGCACTTCTTCTACGTGCTGAAACAAGCACCTGTTTAAAGATGTCTGTTGAATCCCATCCAACAAGGACGTACTGTTTTGAATGTGTAAAGTCACGATAAACTGGCACAGGCTTATTCCGCGTGTAAACACAAGTATGTGATACACTGGGCTACTGGGCACATGAAAGAAGCGTAATGTCTGTATTTACATAAATCCTCAGGTTCTAAAACACATCATTCGTTTTGATATTTCCTTGTTACTTTCATGAGAACATCTTGACACCTTACATCTGCGACCTGACAACGTTACCAGGACGACTCCAGTAAATGTATTTTACAAATTCAACAGAGCGACGAGTTTTAAATCGTTAAGCCATGTGTTCTGCATATCCTGGGGATATACATATAGCTATTAAAATATCAACTTGAAAATATTACGAGGCGCGGCGTTTATGACAAACTCACAGACTGAGATCCAATTCTATTCTTGTCCTGGGCTGTGTCAATGATGACAGCCTGGTCTGTATATTAATATTCATATACAGCTCGTGCGGTTTTACACATGTCGCAGATCACATAAACCCATTGACCGATCCTTGCGACAGCTTTGAAATTTTCATATTTCTTGACAAGGTAGAATGCGTTGTTCGCAGATGTGAAACCCTGCCGTTGTGACCAAGATCGATTTGAACTCGAAACATTGACTTTAATAGATTTTGTAGCCTGACTCGCATGGTTTGCATGCTGCAGCTGTGTTTTTTTAAAAGTTCCGGTCTTTCTTTTCAGACTGTCGCCGACCTGGAATAGGATCTCACAGACCAGAAGGCGCTGTACTTGAGGTAAGAGTGTGTCGTGAGCGAGTTTAGTTTTACGCCGCCTTTAGCAATATTCCAGCAATATCTGGGCGGGGAACACCAGAAATGGGCTTCACACATTGTACCCATGTGGGGAATCGAACTCAGGTCTTCGGCGTGACGAGCGAACGCTTTAACCACTAGGCTACCCCACCGCCCAGTGTGTAGTAGGGATGAAACGGAACAGTCATACCACGGTACGGTACCTATTGCGGTACAATGGTTTCGGTTCGGTCCGTTTCGGTTCGGTATATGAGATATGATGATAATGCAGAAAAGAAAAGAAACGCGTAGATTTTGACCAAATGATTCGATTTCTAGACATTTTAGAAAAGGTATAAAAAGGTTATTAAAATGACGGTTCGAAAACCGAAAATACCGCATTTTTTGGATTGCATTATGGTATACCAAACCGAAGGCAAAATACCGCGGTTGTACTAATACTGCGGTATACCGTTTCACCCTAGTGTGTAGTCCGTTTGTCTCCAGATGAGAACGATGAACTGCAGAATACGTCAAAATCGGGAATAGTCTAGTAAATGTCAATACATAACATGGGCATGAATTCTTAGAACAATGCTTAGTCTCTGAATACTAGTATATATTCTTTTGATATAGTACGAAATAATCCCATTTAAATTGAAAAGGAGTCCCAATGAGATCGGGCTAGACTTACTTCATTTAGGCTTTATCATTGGGGCTAGGGCTAGGCTAGAGCAGTATGGGAAATAATATGGTTCAGGGACTGAGAGACATTCTAATGAATATCATGTATCCAACATTATCTACTGTTGTTATTTTTATAACCATCACTGGAAAGAGTAGTTGTCTTATGTGTAGAAGTTAACATCTTACAGGAGGGGCCACCTTGGTAGGAGGAACACGTGCTGCACGTGCTACATGGTATACGTCGTTGTTGATTGACAAGATGCGATACTCAGCTGATGTGAAACAGTTGATTTTACTATAGGCTATCATAATGTTTGAATCGTGTATAGTATAGAAGGTGAAGCTTAAATATATTATCTGTAACGTCACACCTTGACGTTATTGCCACTAAAACGGGCAACCTTTATAACAGAGGGACAGACAGAAATATACCATATCCTGGCTACCTATATAACGGAGGGACAGACAGAAATATACCATGTCCGGGCAACCTTTATAACAGAGGGACAGACAGAAATATACCATATCCGGGCAACCTTTATAACGGAGGGACAGACAGAAATATACCATGTCCGGGCAACCTTTATAACGGAGGGACAGACAGAAATATACCATGTACGGGCAACCTTTATAACAGAGGGACAGACAGAAATATACCATATCCGGGCAACCTTTATAACAGAGGGACAGACAGAAATATACCATATCCGGGCAACCTTTATAACAGAGGGACAGACAGAAATATACCATATCCGGGCAACCTTTATAACAGAGGGGGAGACAGAAATATACCATATCCGGGCAGCCTTTATAACAGAGGGACAGACAGAAATTATACCATATCCGGGCAACCTTTATAACAGAGGGAAGACAGAAATATACCATATCCGGGCAACCTTTATAACAGAGGGACAGACAAGAATATACCATATCCGGGCAACCTTTATAACAGAGGGACAGACAGAAATATACCATATCCGGGCAACCTTTATAACAGAGGGACAGACAGAAATATACCATATCAAGCAGCCTTCGAAATAGCTACTGGCCCGCTAGCCAAAGGCTACCTGATTGTGAATCGGGCCAGTAATATATTGTTAAAGCTATCCGACTGGCTAGTTGAAGATCTCGGATAATTTGTTCTGAATAACAGTATTTGTTTTTAAGCTTATCTTTTGCACAATGAGTGAGCTGCACATTAGAGGAGTGTTTTCTCCAACCCGTTTTTAAGGACTAAACAAATCTTAGTTGTTGTGTTTGTTTGATGTATTGTTTCCAAGGGGCGACAATAACTTACATCTTCAATTACCAAACGCCCATTTCTGGTGTCCCCCGCCGTGATGTTGCTGGAATATTGCTAAAAGCGGCGTAAAACCAAAATCAGTCGGTGATTCATGTGCATTTTGATATTGATATTTTGCAGGGCCACTGATTAGTCTGTCGTACAGACCCTAAAGTAAATATATCCAAGAAAGCCCACGCAAGTCTAGAAAATGTGGCAAGTCTAGATTTCCTCAGCTTCAGGAAGAAAGTCTCAGGGCTCCTTTTCATTATATTTTTTTTTTACTATGAACTTTTTTTCAGTAAAATATGTTCATTTCAGAGACTAGTTGTTAGTCTAGGCCAGTGATGTATGAAGTGGTATAGCAACATTTTTACTTGACCAGCCCTCCTGGCCAGTGACTTTTCAAAATAAATTCATACACTGATAGCAAGTGATAAAGTACATCCCGATAGCCATGCGATAAAGTGTGCATTATTCTGCCTGATGGCTAGCGACACACGTCATATCAGGTCAACTTGTATATGAAACAAATCGAACATGGCAATGTAGCAGTATAATATACATGTACATGAATTTTTCTTCCGTCATCAAAAATGTTTTAGACATACCATAGTTAGGGGAATGCCTCTAGCACAGAAGAATGTTATTAGTCAGAAAGACAGGAACCTTCAGGAATGCATTATCAACATCCACTAAACAAATGTATATAGACAGTGTTGGAGACTCAACATTCAGATCAAACATATGATTTACCTAATTAGCAGACACTGAAACTGTTTTATTTAATCTGCCAAACCATTTCAAGCTTACAGTTGAGCCCGAGGCTATTGCCTGTCCACTTAGGTCAACAAAGATCCCCTGTTCTCTCCAGATGGTGACAAATACTGAGAGTAGCCGTATCTGTCCTTTGATCTATCTACTTCACAGAAGAGCCTGGGGTACCCTGTCTGTGTCTCGTCTTATAACTCAGTAAATGGGTCAAGGGTTACCCGTGTATTGAAATGTGGGTCACGTTAGTTATATGTCAGTATTGGCCGAATGCCTAATAGCTACGAACCTGAACCCCCTAACGGAACTCACTAGAGCTTCTGCAGGTGGACTACAGTTGAGCTCCGTGGTGTAGTGGTTAGAGCGTCCGCCTGGAGAGCGGAAGGTCGCAGGTTCTATCCCCGACCGCGTCATACCAAAAATCGTTAAAATATGGTACTTGTTGGTCCTTGTCTGGCGCTCGGCATTAATGGGTACAACAAGGACTCGTCGGCTCGGAGTCAGTATAATGTGTCTGAGTGGGGTATTCATGCTTCCTATAGCGGCATGGTATCTCAGTGAGCTAGCACTATAAAACCAGCTTAAGGCTGGGCTTGTACAAGCAGCCGCACATACACTTATGAGCGAAATATTCTCAAGCACGACGATAAAACCCAATTTCACCTCACCTCACTACAGTTGAGGTGTGAGGGAGTGATTCACCAAATTAGACTGACTGACTGACTGAGTTTGGTTTTACGCCGCTTTTAGCAATATTCCAGCAACATCACGGCGGGGGACACCAGAAATGGGCTTCACACATTGTGCCCATGTGTCACCAAATTAGAGTGTGAGTGAGGGAGGGAGGGAGAAAATTAGTATGTAAGGGACCGTTCATAATTTATGGCGAGAGGGTGTGTGATGATGGTTTGTATGGAGAAGCATGTACAATGTGAATGACCCATCCCTGAAAATTTGTAAAAAACCAATGACCCCTTCCCATATTGTAAAGCCTAATTTTAAAAATATTTAAATGTACCATATTGCTGACCCCACCGCCTAGTACATGTGTAAAAAATTTGCTGACCCCCTAGCTCCACAATATTACACTTGATTGTGTGAGTGAGTTAAAATCTACATTCACAACTACGTAATTTCAGCAATATTGCGACGAGAAAATTTATGAAAAGTATTGAAAATCAAAATGAATTACCCTCCAAGACACACACACACACACACACACACACACACACACACACCCGTTCCTACGCCTCTGACCACTGACCACACGTTGAAGTATGTGTGTATTTCACCACAGAATGAAAAGGAAATGCTAGTTAAAGAAACCATGCAGTCCAAATATAGATATGTTAGTGATTCAAACAGCCTCACTGTCCCACCCATTCCTGTAATAGATGATGGAAAAGGGACGAGAAGCTGGTTGAAATCTAGTCGGAGGATATCGCTCTAACATGCTTGTTAACGAGCTGGACCACTGACGTCAATAAATCAACGCTGTATGTGCCTCTGTGTATGCAGGTTAGACTGGTACGGCAAGTATGTACTACCGAGGAATGGAATGAGCTTGCAATATCCTGCTCCACCAACTGATTTAATATCATGTGTAGGTCGACCCACATACACATTGAACAACTGGATACACCCGATCAAACCACAATAAATCAAATATACGTTCACAAGTGGTATACTTTTATCAGTTACTAACAATGCTCTCCTTGCAATACACCGACGCTTACCACCTCTTTAAGTGTTGAGACTATTGACATTGACCCGGTTACAATACCACACCCGTCCTATAAAGATTTTGAAGCGTGGTCATTTCAACATAAGTAATGTCAATATACCTTAGGGGTGGGTATTGCAGAGCATTTTCATATTGCGATATATTGCGATGCGGAAGCATATATTGCGACATGCATTGCTATATATTGCAAGGATTATTTTTTTAACAAAAACTACTTATAATCGAGTTAATGATTGAATATAAAGCAAAAACACGACAAAATCACTATGATTGATTAACCTTTTATAAACTTTTAATCATGACAAAATAAAAATGTAAGTAATATTTGACACTAATGATACATGGAAAAGAACTATTAAAAACACGGAAATATCCGAAGATTTCCGAGTGTTACGAAGTTTTCCGAATGCATGTCAAAATACCGGTTTTCGAGCAGCGTATAGCAATACGTATCGTTTTCATGTCTGAACCGGTAAATACCGGTAAACCGGTTATATTGCGCAGCCCTAATATACCTATGGCCTTATTGTGCGTATAGACGGTGGGGTAGCTCAGCGGTTAAAGTGTTCACACGTCATGTCAAAGGCCCGGGTTCTATTCCCGCTTAGGTACAATAGGTGAAGCCAGTTTCAGGTGATATTTCTACAATCTGATTAAAATCGAAGCAGGTATCTCACTTTCTACCATACATTGAGGCATTTCATGTTGGAGTAGCTCCCTGGTAACCTGTGCTTGCTGTGAGGTAACCCAAATCTGTATGTGGAAAGGCCCTCTGACTTGTTGATTGTGGCAGTGTTTCAAGATGTCCTAGACCTTTGCTCATAATGTCAACCACTGGTTTTTCTGCTCCTGTTGGGGCGATGCAGTAGCCTAGTGGGTACAAGCGTTCGCTCGTCAAGCCGAAGGTTCGGGTTCGATTTCCCACATGGGTACAAAATGTGAAACCCATTTCTGGTGCCCATGGCTCTGATATTGCTTGAATATTGCTTTCAGCGGCGTAAAACCCAACCCACTCACTCTTTTGTACAGGATGCCGCCATTAAGATGATGAAATTCTGTTTCCGATAACCAACATTTACTTGCTTATTTTGTAGACTGCGTGTTTTTGAATGCGCAGACCACCGCTCACGCTTTCAGGTACTGGTCCGCCTGGTCCAAGCGCCATTGTTTTGTTTACAGACCGTCGTGGATTAGCTGAATTATTGGTAACTGTGACGTATCTTCTTGAGGAAGGTTCTCAGTAGGCATAAACGCTGAAGGAAGAGTAATGTCATGTTTCATTTCAGGCCACAACAAACTTGACTTCGCCGATTTCAAGATGGCGGCGTCCCGTGTGGTCCGCCAGTTGCGGTATTGCCACGAGAGCCCTGACCAGTACAAGCTTTGTGACAACCAGATCTGTGTGCCAGTCAACCGAGACTGCCGTAAGTTTTGGGGACTGTAGAAGATGTAAACTACGTGTTCAGTCGCAAATGAGTCTTAAGTCACCGCAACAGGTACGCCCTCGACCCACTTGCTCAAAGCAATCTTAGCGCTTGGGAAATCGCAACACCAGCACTTGAAACAACGTTGACTCGAATAGGTTTTGGGTTGAGGTTGTTAAGTGCGCCCGATGAAGTAGGTTTAGTGTTCGGGGGAACATAGTCAAAGAAAGAAGATATTCAAAAGAGGTTTTCAATTAGAGTAAGCGGTCAATGCCACGGACCAGTGCGTGCGTATGGAAAGCCCCTGTATATTGGTGGCGCGTGGTCCTGTGCTCAAAGCTCAGGTCACAAATCGGTGAAGTTAAGCACCGTCGAGCTCGGAGAGTCCTTGGATGGGTGACCGTGCTTGGCAGCTTGGCTCCTGAGAGTTTCTAGGACTTCAGTCCTGCCCCACACCTTAGGCAAGTGAGTTTGTTCAACATTGTCTCTGTTCACCCAGCAGGAAAATGGGTACCCGGTGGAATAAGTCATGTGACTATAACCTTCTAGCGCCTAACAGGCAGCTTGGGTTATCCGGGGTAATAATATGTGTGCTGTAGCGCCTTGAGCGAGCATTGAATGCACGGATATAGGCGCGGTTACAACTACCCACTATTATTATTATTATTATTATTATTATTATTATATGTTGTGCGTGGGGTACCTGTGGGACCAATATAATACAGAGAGTGTCAGTAGTGGTTAAGCGTCTCGTCCTCACGCCTACCTGTCCAACCTAGCATGTGACTAATGCCTAAACGGCTAAAGGGAATACACAATGTCATTTAGAAAGTGGTCAAATGTAACGTATGTTATATACTCAGCAGCAAAGAAAAACGTCAGTACGAATTCAAAATTAGATAGGCACTGTAATCAAATCATTGCAGAAATTGACATAATAAGCGGATCAAAAACATTTTTTGTGTACAATATCTTGACACATCAATGAATAACACAATTTCAAGACATTACGTACCACAGGACCCACTCTCTGGTTCAGGCCTATTCCACCCCATACCATGATACTTGCACCTCCCCATGAGTCTCTTTCCATAACACATTGGTCTGAGTAACGCTGGCCACGTCGTCGCCATATTCTTGTTCTGCCATCTGCAGTTGATATGCAGAACCGACTCTCATCTGTGAACAGAACAGTTCTCCATTGCCTGTATCGCCAGTTTTGGTGTTATAGGGCAAACTGTAGACGTTCACACCGATGACGAGGGGTGAGGATAGGTCCACGGTAATGTCTGCGGCAATGGAGGTTCCCGCTGTTAAGACGTCGGCGAACTGTATCAGTACTGATTGGTCTTCCGTGTGTTCCCACTGTTTGGCGTGCTGTTCCGGATGCCTGCTTGAAGGGATTCTGTACATGCTGTAGCACAACAGGGCGTTCTTGTCTTGTGGTCACCCTTGGTCTACCGGTACCGGGACGATCATTTGTGGTGTTGGTGGCCCGGAAACGTTGCTGCAGCCTGGTCCGAACATTGACCTGGAAGCGATTGGCAACGGCTTGTGCAGTGTGGCCAGCTTCAAGTCTTCCTAGCGCCTGGTTCCTCTGAGCTGTCGCGGCATCCTGCTGACGTTGTAATGTGAATGTTTCAACCAGGTTTGGGGCTACGTTTTATAGGGCTGGTCCTTGTGAACAGCACGTGCAGCATGAGTTGCATGAAAAACATAAGAGAACACCGTACCATCTCCGTGATCAGGTTGCGTTTTTAAGACCATTTCCTGGGTTCCATTCTGAGTTTGGGAAGGAATGTCTTTGCTCAGGTAAAGTTGGAGATGTTGTCAAAAATATACAATCAAAGCATTAGATGAGTTTACAGTTATCCGTTTCTGAGACGGAAAATTCCAAAGTGACGTTTCTTTTGCTGCTTGGTATATTTGGATTACATATTCTCAGTAAAGTACAGATTCTAGTACTTTCGTGAGGTTGAGTCCCATCGGGGATTCGCTAGCACATAATGTCAGCGATCCAACTCTGTAAAATCGTCACTGGATTAGGTTGGGTTGAGTCCCATCCTGGATTCGAACCCACACTGTCAGATAGTACGTCGCATTGGATTCAGTGAACTGACACCGAGCTGGACCAGTGGAGGCGATGCTGTCAGTACGTTTATCAAGTTGAGTGAGTCAGATCGCTGACATTATATGCTAGTGAATCCCTGATGGGGCTCAACCTCACCAAAGGACTAAAATCATAACTATACTGAGAATGTATAATCCCAAATATAACATGTTACGTCTAGAATGTGCGTCACTATATCTTTCTTCAACGATGATGTCGACATTCCATCCAATTACATTGTATTAAATACACACTGTTCCAAAGCAAACCCACCCATCCAGACAATGATAATAACTGACAACATGTGGTTACATCACTGAAGACGGGGTGGCTTATCAATTTGAACTTGGGTCATTTGTTTTTTCAATGATCGTTTCGTTACAGTCTTTGTTGATATAGATAGAACGCATTAACTCACTCTTCCGCAGCGTGTGACCTGGAGCAGTTCCAGTGTCTAGACGGCCGCTGTCTACATCCCAGTCTACTGTGTGACGGCAACTTAGACTGCAGCAACGGCGAGGATGAAACCATATGTAGTAAGTTAGCTTGTGGTTGTTTTACATCAGTGTTTGTTTTTGTTTGTTGTTTTACGCCGCACTCAGCAATATTCGAGCTATATGGTGGTGGTCTGTAAATAATTGAGTCTGGGTCAGACAAGCCAGTGATGAACATCATGAGCATCGATAAACACAACTGGAATACGACGACATGTGTCAACCACGTCACCAAGCCTGACCACCCGATCCCATTAGTCGCCTCTTACGATAAGCATGGGTCGCTGAAGACCAATTCTAACCCGGATCTTCACGGGTATGTACACCATTGGGTATGATCTTACCCCGCTTCAAGCAAACTAAAAGCAATCTCTGGCAGGGGACTTTACGTAAGCTTAAGTGACATTGTTTGGTTTTGTTGTCCTCATGTTTGAAAGACAAAAATCCTGATGGTGTGCATTCAAACTCGTGAGACGGTGGGTGTAGCCAAGTGGATAAAATGTAAGACCCGGGTTCGATGCCCCACATGGGTGATGTTTAAAGCCCATTTCTGGTATCCCTCGCCATGGTATTGCTGAAATATTGCTAAAAGCAGTGTGAAACTATATTCACTCGCTTACTAGTCCATGAAAACGAGGGTAATGTTCTCTTTTCCACGAATCCCTGTTTCCACTGCCTCTCCTATTCCAGAATCTTCTCCCGCATCCGATAAAGATGCTAGTCCCCCAACCTCGGTGATAGCGGGCGTGTGCATCGCCATCATTGTCGTCACCCTCGCCGTCATAATGGTGCTGGTGTTCCTCAGACGACGGCGGCTGCGGGCCCTGCATCGGGAGTCAGGTATGTGGCTGTATGTGATGTACCTATATACACGGTATCTGAGAAATGTGCCATGTAGAAAGTGGTAAAATGTAATATGGTATATTTGGGATTACGCTTTCCCAGTAAAGTTCAGATTCTGGTACTGTTGTTGTGTTGAGTCCCATCCGGCACCTACGCCACAGCAAACAAAGTCAGACATCTAACCAGCCGCGATGGCCGGCGATTAGGTGCCTGACACTGAGAGTGTGGGTTCGAATCCCGGATGTTATATATAACATATGTTGCTTTATATCTTAAAATACACAAGATGGCGGAATCCACTTTTTGTTTCGATCATATTCAGAGTTCTCTTTGGTTGAGAAAAATGCATTCGTATTTTGAGGAAAAGGTTTGAATAAGAAATGGATATATGGGTCCTAAAGTGTTTTATGATTTGTCGCCAATCGGAGATATGAATGCTTCACTGCCTACTGGCTGACATTTGGAACGATGCGTAGCCAAATTAATGACCTATAGAAGATTTGATATTAAACGTTATTATCAAACGAATGAGGAAATACGGTAACAGTAGCTATAAAAAGTCCCCACACATACTGTACAGTTTGATGTTTTACATGAATCAACGCTTCTATACACAAACTTGTGTTCCGTATTTACCAAACGAAAAGAACGCAACACAAACCATAAAGAATGACAACTTAACGCAGGACTTGGAGTATATGTGGTTGACAGATTAATCCACTAAGTACATCACCCACAGGTTCGGAACCCCTTCAAAGCGGCGTGTCCAGCAGCGACCCCTCCACCGAGACTGAACACACCAGCGACAGCGACGCCTATAGACTCGCTCCTAAAGACGACATAGATGACTTTTCAGATTTCGCTGATGCGCTGTGTACTTCAACTCCTAGACCGGATATCCGGCGGCAAGTAAATCCGGGTCAAGGTCGTCAAGGGGCGATGAAAGCGTCAATGCTGATGTCAGTGACGTGACGAATCGTAACACTGGCTTAGATCGGATTGCTGTCTTTTGATATATAATTTCAAGTGATATTATTCTGTGACCTGACAAATACCCAATAGTGACCAATGCTGTCCTGTCTTAGGACATAGGCGGTGCTGCTGTTTGACTCGCTTTTTCAAAGAGAGCCTGACAACATGTATAAAGGTCATCTGTGGTCAAGCAAAGTGCGATGAAATTTAACGGAACGATTATGCTGTGTTTCCCCAGATGGAACCCCATACCTGGTGGTCTCCGCCTTGATACCGCTGGACTATTGCCAGAACGGCATCAAATCATACTCACCCATTGTTCTGGTATTCTGTACATCTCTTTCCAGTATCATTACGTGATATCAATTGTTCTACTCGAGTGCTATATTTCGTTATGTTTTTGCAGAATAATAACTTTCTTGAATACGTGATGTTCAGTATAAAACTAAATATGAGAAGACCATGGACGAGTTAAGTGATTTCTATTGCCAGTCGTGTGGAGCATGTGTTCTCATGTATGTACATATTCACTGTAAACGAGAAATGTTCAATGGCCAAGCTCAGTGGTATACAATTGTGCTACTTCAATGTTTGAAGATCAAATGTTTGATTTACACTAAACATCAATCAACGACCAATACGTTTCTTCGCAAAATGAGTCCAATCAGGACATATACAAAGTCTATGACGTCAAACGTTTGTTCTCGCTCAATCTTGATGTTGACCGAGAGACCAATGTGTAAAGATTTTGATACTGCTGTATATTTTTGTTTACAAAACTAAAAACAAATAAACTGTTGATATTCAACATGTACCATTGTTGTATTGGATCTTCCATGGGGGACTGTCTCGCTTAGAAACAGCGTGAGGCATATAGGTATATAGACGCTACCCTATTATCATCGCATCAATGACCAGTCCATACACTCCCAAACATACCGTTTACAACCGTTTCTCACATTCAAGGCCAACTCTTGTGGTCCCTGGTCAACGGGACGAGTAGTGATCAGTCTCACAAAAACCAAAAGTACCCCTCCAATACCAAACCGCTCTGCACGAAGACATCTCACGTTTTGGTGAACTTTCTGATCGGCCAATAACCTCTGAGGCGTGTACCTTCTAACACAGCATTAATTTAATTGTGATTATTTTACTGTTTGTGAGCGCGGATTTTGTCCTGCTGTGGTTTTCTGTACCAGGGATTTCCGAAACGACTGTGTGTAAGAAATTATTTTATACAGGTGCAATTTTATTTGATCAAAATCCCACGCACCCTTCATTTTGAGTTCACGTGACGCGAGGACCTGTGAATGTATTCTCAGTCCTTAAAGCTGAGAGGTGTATCGGAGTAAAATATGGGTGAGTGAGTTTAGTTTTAAGCCGCACTGTATCCTTCCTTACTGCTCCAACTTCTATATGCCTCTCAGATTAGGCGCTGACTGAGTCAATAGTGAGTGAGTGTGTTTAGTTTTACGCCGCACTCAGCAACATTCCAGCTATATGGCGGCGGTCTGTAAATAATCGAGTCTGGACCAGACAATCCAGTGATCTACAGCATGAGCAGCGATCGGCGCAACTGGGAACCGATGACATGTGTCAACCAAGTAAGCGAGTCTGACCACCCGATCCCTTTAGTCGCCTCTTCCGTCAAGCATGGGTTACTGAAGATTAGGGCTGCGCAATATAACCGGTTTACCGGTATTTACCGGTTCAGACATGAAAACGATAAATATTGCGATACGCTGATCGAAAACCGGTATTTTGACTTGCATTCAGAAAACTTCGTAACACTCGGAAATCTTCGGATATGTCCTTGTTTCATTTGTGCCAAATATTATTCATATTTTTAATTTATCATGATTAAAAGTTGTTATTAAAGCTTAATCAAGCCTAGTGAATTTGTTGTGTTTTTACTCTATAAATCAAGAATTAACTCGATTATAAGTATTTTTTTGTCTAAAAATACTTCATGAATATATATTGCAATACATATCGCAATACATGCATTCGCATCGCAATATATCGCAACATGAAAATTCTCTGCAATACCCACCCCTACTGAAGATCAAGAGTACAATATGATGAGATTGGAGTTATTCTGCTTCTATGTAAATGAGTGACCGTGGTTTGACAACACATTGAACAGTATCCCAACCAGTCAGCTTGATGTGAAAGGAAAGCGAGTCGAAGTGATGCAGGTTTCTGAAGTTTACCACCTTTGTTGTCGCCTCCGACGACTTGATGGGATCGGGTAAGATAACGCCAATCGTTAACGTTGGTTTCATAAGGGAGACAGTCCCCGTAGATTCCCACGAATAAGTTGAAATTCGGCTCGGAAGCCCACAGTATACTGGTTCATGCATAGTACACCACAAAAACCGAGCAACGGCACCTTGTTTTGTACGTTTCCCTTAAATTCCCTTTATAGAGCGGTTACTGTTAATATTCAGATAACTGTAAAATAAATATACATCGCTATTCACGTGTTGTCTCAATCTTTCCGTCGATTTGAACATACCTTTTAACAGTCCATACACGAGTTACCTCCCTTTAACCGATATTTTTCATTTACGAAGTTCCCATCTAAAATTCAGATAGTCAGGGATTCTACACTGGAGGCTTATATTCAAGTTTGTCAAGTTTAACATTTGTTTAACCTGCTCGTGCAAATATTTATTGTTTGATCATGTTAAAAAATAGCCACTATGAATAATGGGTGTATGCTTTTTGGCATGGCTTTTATAAAAGATGGTAGACATATTTTTATGTCCATGTCTCCAGTCACTCAAACATAAATAGGCCATGCTCACTTATGTTTCCTATGGGCAAGAAATTTGTAAATATATTATTCGTTACTTTATTTTATTAATTTATTTCAAATAATGTATTTAATTGTATTTGTCGTCCTTTTATCCTGTGATACGTTTGTCAATGGCATTTTACCCGCACTTTACTAATTTCTTCCGCAGTTTGCCAGCTTGTTTTTTTCTCCCTATGAAAGTGTTATTGTGACGTCATTATTGCTGTAACAAGTGTCTTATGACGTCACTGTATAGTGACGTCATGTTCTTACAACGCCATCATAACGAACATAACCGCGGCAACTGCACCACGGAATAAGCCTTGAGACACGTCGAAACGTAAAGGTGATTGACATCTTGAGATGCGAGTGTTATCATTTATGATGGTTTACAAGGGTAGATTGAAGGAACCTCATAAGTTACGAGCATTGGGACAATATTTCAGCAAATTGACATACGGCATTTTAGACATATTTCAAGGAAAGACCTCTTTTAATTTAGCGGGACGGATGGAAATGGCTGCTGAAATACTGAAACCGATTATAGCTAAAAGCTGTGCACATCACATAGATGAAGGAATCCAATATACTGCAGTGAACAATGAATGCGTATTATTTCAAGTGATCTTGGAAAGGTTTGGAGATAGCAATCATTCGAGGCCTAGGCAAACATATTACCCAATAGGGGGTCACTTCTCACTGGCTTCGTCCACCGACTCCTCACAAACATCAATTTCTTTACATTTCAAAAGTCAAAATATGTGCAGGTTTCTGACGAAATTAATATTGTATTTTAACGTTTTATGTCTATTTTGATATAATATAGTCACATTAAGTAAAGTGGAATGGCTAAATGTTATGGCTAAATCAACTAAGAACGCGCGGCCATGACGCAGATACATAAAGTAGACAAAGATATATTGTTTGTTTGAACATAGTTTATTCAGTATTGAAAGGGATTGGGCACAAGTTATTCAACTTACTAAAGCCCGCTGCCGACAATTACATGGAAAAAATACATGTTATGGACAATGAACAGAGGCAAGACATATTACACATTATTTGAAACGCTTCCTACGTACAACGAATTTATGGACATTACTACAAATAATTTCATGTATAATTTGTGGCAGAAAAAGGCTGCAGTACAGAATGGTGTTAATATCTAAGCTAACTTTTAGGATTTCAAAGCCTTGTATCTAATCAAACCGGCAGCTGACATACTTTGGACATTTTAAAAAAGAAATGATTGGCATCTTCCACCAGAGCATCACAAAGTCATGCTTTACTTTCAGATAAATTGGCACGAAAAAGATCAGCATTTATAAGAACTGCATGAATGTCATTTAGTGTGTAGAATATTAATCTTCTTTCACCAAATAGGAAATGTTTAGGAATTTTATCAGTTTTTTCAGATAATTTACATTTAAATGATGGTAATGAGTTGGTACATTTTATTGTGGAGGAGAGATTATTGCATAAAAATACCTTCCAATATTTATTATCAGCAAATACACAGTATCGTATTACAGAATTGGAATTGAATACCTCTAGATCGTGTGCGTGTGCATATAACTATGAAGTTATGAAATTACAATGTTTGCATTTTGCACATGTAGATGACAAAGAGCCGATACTGACACCGGACAATGGAGTAGAGGTACACGTGAAGGAAGCAGCTGAGATCGATGACTGGTATCGTCACGACGACACAATGTGTTTAACCCGCCTGGATGCCGTGTTTTATTCTAACGCACATTTTTATAAGGGGGTCAGCTGAACGCTGTGCGAGAAATGCGTCACGCTAAGATTGGGATTTTAGGGGTTTACGATTGGCGTAGGGCTAAGTTCGGTTAGTGGAACGACACCCTGGATCTATCCACGACTATAAAATTACACATCACTGATGGTTTAGTTCAAGTTCAAAGGGGTTGATTTGTACATAGAGAGTATAAAAGTCAGCGGGCGATGATTCTTTAAAACAACTGTACAAACGGGCAGTGCGATCAGGACAAAATCTTGGTTAAAACATAAATATATTCAGTACCGTGTAGTTTAGTGACCGCTCGTGTTGTTTTGTGTCAATCACAAATGGCTGCGTGAGTATTGTTTTACCCCCAATATTCAATTAATTTCTGGTACACCAGAACATTTTCAGTCACCCAATGTACCCATGTGCTGAATAGAACATGGGTGCTGTTTCACGCAAACCTTGGCCTCTCAGCGCTTCGACCTCCTAAACGTATAGAAATCCCTAACATGGTCATAAAACCTTGTAGCGGGTACGAGGTCGTAAGGCTTTCCTGAAATAACACCCAGGGCCATCCCACCACCTAACGCATTATAACTGCTGAAACTTGACGTTTCATAGCTAAACAGTAACTAATCAAAGATATCACATCGTGTATTACGTTGTGACAAGTTATTTCGATTTATGTCCATGTCCAGTCTTAGGGGAATTGGAAGAGCAGACTGCGACCGGTGGACAGAGCCGCCCCGAAGCCTATTATCTGGGAACGTCCAGTCTGTTCTGGGTGGAGACACAGCCTTGTTGGACGAACTGCACAAGCGTCATGGGGTCAGTACGGATCACGTGGTCTTCAACATTGACATTTTTTTCTCTCATGATGTATGAGTATGAGTGCGGCGTAAAACTAAACTCACTCATGATATGATGAAACACAGCCTGGTTCTGTGGACATGCTGCGCTGGCGCCAGGGAACCAGGTTGTGAAGGAAGACCATTCCCTGAAAACGGTTCTATTATCCCTCAGTGCAGTGTAGCTAGGTCCCTTTTCATGAACGGTAACACCTGATATATTCCGAGTAACATTTATTCAGTCTTTCATTTTCCCCTGATACCCACTAGAGGTCGATTGCATGTTCCGCTCATAAAGTTTACGTACTGTAAGACAAATTAAACCGTGATCAGTTGCCGTGTATCCTCTTTGATGCTGATCTCCACACCACATTCGTGACCCAACTCGTGTTATTCCGGGACAAGCCGAATAGTGAAGAGTTACGGAAAGGGGCGAGTGGTGACGAATGTCTCCACACAAGCCCCTATGTATTTCTGTTTACCATACCATATACTTTTTGGTGCGACAGCTTGGCAAGCGCTTGGTATTCGAACTAATAAAAAGGTTTACCTTGTCTTTCTCAACTGGAAAGAAGTTATACATGTTTACTGTTGACGACCCAAATTCCTGGGTAGTGGAGGACAGCATAAACCAAACATGTACATGGTCACTTTGCTTTCTCTATACACTACAGTCTTTATTCGGTGCATTTCATGAGTGAAATACCCCGAATAAAGGCCGTTATATATACCACCGACGCTCTCAGAGTTCGTGATATGGTCGCACGTTCAACGGCCACTTCTTCAAACAATACTTACAAATGCTGCTAGTCTACACTGCTGACTATCTGAATCTTGAGATTATCTCGTAACTTCGAAAGACTTGAGAATGCAGAAATGACTTAAATTATCTAACAGTTTTCTCGGAGAGTGTGTTATCATAGAGTAATGTTTACTTCTCTCTCCGGACATGTAGTATTAACGATTAGTACATAAAGCTTATCAGGTAAACAAAGCCTTTTATTCGACATTGAAATTCTTGTGAATAAGGTGTTTAATGAAGACTAAATTATCACTACTAAATGGGGATGATGTTTGCTTATTCCTAAAGACTCTATGGTATAATCATAACAGAATGGTGTTATACTACCGAGGATGGTCAAGGAGAAACAGGTTGAGAGATTTTACTTCGCTTCATGTGGCACGGTTACAGTGCAGACAATCGCACCGAGGACACTGATTCGCATCCTTTATTTATTTTCAGATTTCCTCCCACACCGCTATTCAGAGCTGGTGATGAAAACGGGGAAATATGAAAGGAACGCTTGAATTTTCACGTGTTCCTTTATTTGTTTCTCTCAGTATATGTATGATTAGATATAATGACCAATGATGTTATAAGATTTAATATTGTATTTCCGTTTAGTGCTTTACACATACATTTGTTTGATATGTCGCACAGAACAACTTGCAATCTATGGCATGCTTTGGTGTGGACATGTCACAGGACACGTGATTCAAAATGACGCCGCGGTAATGTGATGTTTGATGGCTTGCAAATATAACCTCTGGATAAATTGATAACTAAAATTGGGCGCACGGATTCCCTCCATTGCGGCCTATATAGATGCTTCTTTGCGTTCGTCGCTAAGACATTGGTAGACATGACAAAGACCGTTGATATGAAATGTCAAAAACTGGAGATGAGAGTACCGTATTTGCGATGCGAGTACCGATCTCTGGTAGAAGCAAGTTTCTTATAGACGAAGGTGTGGTCATCGTGATGCTCTTGAAATCAGCTTCACCCCCCCAAATCATCTCACGGCTGTCTCACTAAATTTCTTAATTAACTCGCCTTTAACGTTGCCTTTTTAAAAGGCTTTTCTTGTTATGAGTTGTTTCAAAACGTATGTAATGTGTTTGTTCAGTTTTAGCAATATTCCATTAATATCAAGGCGTGGGACACTAGAAATGCGCCTTACACATTGTACGCATGAAGTGAATTGAACACGGGTCTTCGGCGTGACGATCAAACGCTTTAACCACTAGACCCCAAAAACGTATCTAACGAGCGAGTGCGAATTGTACGATAAATGGTACGTGGCAGTGAGAGGTGCAGTAATCCGACTCTTGCACACCATAAAATGGCATCATTTTGGCATCGAATCATGCATATTTTGTCTATTGTGATTATCTCATCGAAACATGTGAAGAAATTTTGTAAGTTTGACACAAACACATGTAAATGAAAAGGCCCAAAACAAAAACGAATAAAAACAAAACGAACAAGCAAAAACACCAACTGCCACAAAGGATCAAAGGGTTTTCATTGGCAAAGTAATGAGTCCAATCCAGCTTACAATTGTGTTTTCAACCCTCTCTATGAAAACCTGTTTCCATATCTGCCAAGCCTGGTTCCACCACTTGGAATCAGAATTCAACCACACATGTCTGCAGCTAAAATCGATCTCAATATCATTGCACCTTACCGACTTTGTCTTCACCACCGTGGCAAATGGGGAAACCACAGGGCGATCTTACCCTCACCAAACTCAAAAAGTCTGAAACAAATCCTTTGGTGTTCCAACAGGAATATAACCAGTTACGTTCTAAGTATAACACCCATAGATCCATTTTCACAGACGGATCCAAGACTGTCTCCTCTAGGATTCCCGACAACAGTTCCATTCTCACTGCTGAGGCCAAAGCTATCTTCTCAGCTTTGACCTACATTAAACAGCAGAATCATTCCAAAACCTTCATCGTTTTTACAGATTCATTATCTTGCCTTCAAGCACTTCAAAATGTTACTATAAGGGTAATGCTATTTTTGAGGGCATTATCATTTGCAGAAGCCCGAGGTCTTCCATTAACTGCCCGACGAAGGAGGGCAGTTGAAAAAGCCGAGGGCTTCTGCAAATAATAATGCCCTCAAAATAACATTACCGATATTATAACTAAAATACATGGAATTTGTGTTGAAAAGAAAAGGAAAACAATGAAGGAATTTGACTGTAAGTTTACCAAAATCAACTTCTGACGGGCTTGACTGCCCGAATGCAATTACGTCATCGAACAATTCAAGTGACGTCACAAAAGAAAGTGACGATATTCGACCTTGGCCTTTGACAAGACCATAGCCTGCAACATGTCAAACTATGACAGTGTTCGGTTTTGGTCCATCAACAGTCTTAACAGTGCAATTGTTAAGGTTAGCACCAACAAGAAAGCCAATATTACCGCTATTTGAAGCGGGAATTTGGGTTGCTTTGACTTGTTTGACCCAGAATATCTGCCAGTCGAAAGCAAATTAATGTCGAACTATGACGTCACTTGACAACAGAACTGATAGTGGCCCGTCGTTAAGGTTGAGCGGTCCAATATCATTTGCAGCGGACCGCAAATTTCTGATAATGGGAGGGCCGTTTCATGATAATTCCATGTATTTTAGCTATAATTCAAGTCAGCCAATCATCCTGGACATTTTAGAACTTTACAACAACCTTTCTACCGGCCAATGTGACATCGTCCTCTGCTGGTTGCCGGGTCACGTCGGCATAGCAGGTAACACAAAGGCCGATGCTGCAGCTAAAGCAGCTCTTGATAAGCCCTTATCTCCACTGCTAATCCCGTACAGTGATTTCAAACCCACTATCAAAAGTTATACTCGGGACCTCCTGCAAAAAAGGTGGGACACTCAAATAGGAAGAAACAAACTTCATGAAATGAGCCAACAATTGAGTATACCTACTTGGGTTGTCAGCCAAGACGTGGTGAGGTAATTTTACGACGATGTCGTATTGGCCAGTCGGTTTACACATGACTATCTGCTGAAAACGGATGGGGATGGACCCCCTATATGTGTCTCTTGCGATGAATTTTTCACCATCAAGCATATTCTGCTTGGCTGTGTGGACTTATCGTCTGCAAGGGACTCACATTATGATGCAACAAATCTGAAAGATCTGTTCTCCCGCGTGAGCGCTCATCTGGTTTAAACATACTTATTTCATGAAAACGCAACGACAGAATTTTCATGAACTGGATTGGTCAACAAGCTCAAAAGAACTTATATGAAGACCGCTCCAATATACAAAGATATATGAAACAGTATCATGACAAGAAAAGATGATATCTAAAATGAAAGTAGATGGTATGACATGTAGTCGGAAACTTAAAATCGTGATGGTTGTATACATGTATGGCATTTGCAGTCGGGATCCATAGTAGTATAACTTTGAGAATTATTGGTTTTGTATATGATTTGCTCAGTTAAAGCGCCTAGTTTCAATTATACATAGATGGACTGATTTTAAGATATGTGATTGAATTTGTGGGTTTATGGAAGACGTTCCGTATAAGATTATTTCTAAGGAAAAGCCACTGGTATAATAAAATGTATTTACTCTTACAGCATCAAATCTGGGACATGCGAAGAAATAATGACGTGCATCTTCAATAGGGTGGCCACACAAACAATCTGCTCTCTCTGATAATCGTATCGCGAGATACTGTACCGGTATGTATTATACCGGTGTATAGGAAATATTGCACAGCCCTACTGAGTTCTAAAGATTGGCCCTTGTGGAGCAAGTATCGCAAAAGTAGTAAAGGTCTGAGACCTCGGGACTTCCTCCCACATCAAGCAGCCACGCCTTGATGGGCCTGGAATACTTTTCAGGGCGGTGTTAAATTCACACACTCACTCTTTCCACTCTTAACAAACATCAAACGGATACAACCATACGTGTGTTGAAGTGTTGATCTTTATAAACTCTGTCAAAAAGAAACGCAACCCCTGTATTTTAGAGATTTTGATCTGAAGTTTTAAGACGACACAGCATTTTATTATTTAAGACAGAAGTCTGAAATTTGGCAGAATAATAACCAAGATGGGCATGTTTAAAATTGTCATTTCAAAGTCATCTCACAGACACCAGTTTGTCACCAGGGGCGTCTTTCTCAGTATCTCGTATGAGCACCACGAGCTGCAATCACTGCACGGCATCTCCTTGGACAAGAACGGATAAGACGCCGGATTCTTTCCTGGGAATGGCTCTCCACTCCTCCTGCAGTGCAACGCCGAGCTGTTGCAGCGTCTGTGGCGGCGGCTGACGTTGACGTACGCGTCGACCCAGAGTATCCACAGGTGTTCAATAGGGTTGAGGTCTGGTGATTTAGAGGGCTATGGCAAGACATTGACGTTGGAATTCTGCAGAAAGTTCATTGTTGCACGTGCAGTATGAGGCCGGGCGTTGTCTGGTTGAAAAATCTGTGTCTGTTGGTCAATAATCGGGAGAAGGTGAGGCTGTAATGCGTGGTTGATGTAACGTTGGGCTGTCAGGTTCCTTCAACGATCACCAAGTCTGATTTCTGGTTGTATGAGATGGATCCCCAAACCATAACGCTTTCTCCGCCAAATCTGTCCCCTGTCGGACGCAGATGGGCGCAAAACGTTCATGACGTCTCCTATACACACGTTTTCTTCCGTCGTGATGTTGCAAAAGAAAACAGGATTCATCAGAAAACCAGATGCGCCTCCAGTTTTGTAAAGTCCATATCCTTACGTTGTTGCACCACCTGAGTCGTCGGCGGAGATGTAGGGGGCGTAGTACAGGTCCAACAACTGGTCTACAGGCACGTAAACCCGCTTCTTTCAGACGGTTCCTAATCGTTTGAGCTGACACTCTCCTCAAACCTGGTATTTGTGTGGCAGTCACGGTTGGTAGGGCATGCCGATTACGCAGGTGATGGACCCGGATGTACCGATCTTGAAGGGGTCGTGATTCTTGGCCTTCCACTTCTCGGGCGATCGTTGGTCAAATTGAAGTTGTTGTAGCGGCTCCAAAGTCGGGATATCGTTGTTTTGTGAACATTTAGGTGCCGTGCAACAGTTCCAAAACTTTCTCCGGCTTGAACACGACCAATGGCGATATTTCGGTCGGCAGCACTCAATCGTGGCATTTTCACACAGCTTTTCATGCGACAAATGAATGAATATAATACGAAAGCACATGGGCTTTTATACACCCCTATTAACTGCCATTTTCATGATTTGCATGTGTTTTTTGTGCGAAGTCACCATGAGGGTCATTTCATGCGTTGTGACGGAATAAGCAATAAAATACACTTATGCGTACAAATGCAGTTGTTTGGATGGTAATCTTCATTAATTACGTGTATAATTTCAATACATTCGAATAACATTTAGTTTGGAAGCAATAACTTCATTCAAACGAATTTTTTCATATCTGAGGACAGGGGTTGCGTTTCTTTTTTTTTATGAACTTTTGACAGAGTCATATAGGATGTTTCAGATATAACTATTTATTGTCTGTTCCTCTGACGTCCTTCTAAACAGTAATTA